AAATTGTTGTCTTGTGTTTATAAATCAGCACTGGGACGTTTTCACTTCTGTGACCGAGATCTTCATCCTTGTTCCACCTTTACTGGGCCTAAAGGGAACCTGAAATGACACTGGCCTCAAGACTCTCCACCGCTGTAAGGTTACTATGTTATCTATATACCTATTAAATCCCACTGGACCAGCATTCATTTTCAGGCTGGTCATCTAAAAGCCATGCTTTCCCCAGAAAAAGATTCAGGGATGCACATTATATTGGTTCAATGGGACAAAATATGAAATATATGAACTAATTTGTTTTAATTATTCATAAATTAATAAAATATTTAAAATTCATTAATCTGCTGGAACGACTGGAAAAGTCATGGAAATGCATTGATTGATATGTGTGGGAATGGGGAACTTTACAGATGATCTACTTTTTCCTCCTTGTTGATGAAGTCTGATTTGCTGTATTGTATCTGCGTTGTGTACTTTCCCCTTCATCACATGCTTTTTGTCATGGTGATAAACTTCATACCATGCTGTGAATAAAAACAGCCCTTAACGGTTATACATAGCGTTTTGAACTAAACAAGGTTTATTTTTGTAATGCTTTATATTGCTTAAATAAAACAAATACGTCATTCTACTCTTCAATATCAATATTGCAGGTGAACGTTGGCAGAATGAACTCTTCAGGCGAGAAGTGGGACCTGATCGTCGGAAATCTTGCCCTCAAACAAGTTACTGCAGCTCATTTACTCATTTGATACTTGTGTGGCTTCTGTTCTTCATTCAACTTAATTTGTCTCTTTAGATACAAGCTACAGTTCTGGGCTTCCTGGCTGCTCTTGTAGCATCGGCTCTTGGATGGATCCTGGAAGAGGAGCTCTTCATGAACCATGTAGCTCTGCTTTGCTGTTGCAGCGTGGTGACGGCGTTCACAGCATCTCTGCTGCAGGGTTTGCATCCAAATTTGTGACCAATTTTTATCGACTTAAAATAGACCATTTATAACTCCATTAAATGCTTCATGCTCATCAAATATGGAGGAAGTCATCTTTGTTGGTGCTGATCATGAGATTATTCTCACTTGAATGGCTTATGGCTTGTGATCTTGGCCACGCAAACCCATTTTCCACACAGGTCCCGAATATAGACCCAATATCCTCCGGCCACATAGCTCAGCATTCGGCATAAATGGATGGAACTGTCGGTAAGATTAATGGAAGCAGTTCCTTAGTGATGACAAACAAGGTTAAGCACTGAACATTATTTCAACTCAGGAGATTGGTTTGGTAATAGAGACTATGGTAATGTATCTGGTCAGAACAGGTCTGCTGCGCTTCTGCTGCTGTTTTTTCCTATTTGTAAAGTTAAGACCGCTTGTATAAATTCTGCATGGATTTGATATATTAATATTTTTCCAGGGATCTTAATGGTTGGTGTGATTTTTGGGTCCAAGAAGGTGGGCGTCAACCCTGACAACATAGCCACGCCCATTGCTGCCAGTTTTGGTGACCTCATCACACTTGGACTGCTCGCCATCATCAGTCAAGGCTTATTTTACAGCATGGGTGAGAATGAAAGACCAGTTCACTGGACAAAGATTAGTTTACTGAGAGGTGTGGGCTATTTTTACTCCCTTTAACACCCTATATTTTGAAACTCTCTTTGTTTATAGAACCTTACCCTTATATTACCTACCTGGTGTGTATTTTTTTCCTGTCCCTGACGCCGGTGTGGGCCATTCTTTCATTTCGGCACCCTGAAAGCCAAAAACTGCTGTTTTCCAGCTGGGAGCCAATAATAACCGCACTGGTGATCAGCAGGTAAATGTTCCCCACTTAGTACATAAATATAAGTCTACAATGGACCATTTTGTGTTGATTCAACTGCAATTATGTTGGTACAACCTACTTATCTCCAGTCTTGGAGGACTGATTCTGGACCGAACCGTCACAGATCCACTGCTTGAGGGAGTTGTTCTCTACACCCCTGTTATAAATGGTGGGTCAAACACAACTCACTTGCTGTGTTCTGATCAACTGTGAGTGACTGTTTTAAATTTCCAATGTCAACCTTTCCTTAAGGTGTTGGTGGTAATCTGGTTTCCGTCCAGGCTAGTCGTATAGCCACGCATCTTCATTTTCACTGTCCGCCGGGCGAACTTCCAGACGACTCTAAACGATGTTACTGTCCTTGCCGCAGCTTTTACACCACAGGTAAAGGCCATATAAGTTTGTATTCTTTACTTTGGGGTAAAAGACTTTGTGGTGTACCTTTGCCGCAGTGTACTGTTAGCGAACATCCTGACGCCATCCACACTGCTTGGAGCGACGTTTAGATGTAAATATAAACGTGCTACGTGCTGCGTGCTTTCCTCTCAATAACAAAATAAAAACAGTAGCTAAGAAAGCATCTGATCATAGCGATGTAGATATGTTTGCACCAGTTCTGCATTTGGTGCTCAATTCCAAGTAGATATAGATATAGTCCAGAGAACTCCAAAACAGGCTGCATCCGAAATCGCGGTGATACTCGGTGCGACTAAAAAGGTTCTGTTGTCCGATGAGGTCCGGTTTCAGTCAGTCGAAGGAGAAGGGTAGGGTAGGGTAGGTGAACTAACCCTTTAAGGTTTAAGAACGAAGACAAAAATCTCCTTTGCATTGCTTCTTACAGGGCCGAACGGAAGATCAGCACAGGTGCTGCTCATGTTGGCCATCCCAGGTCACTTGATCTTCGTCTACACCATTTACCTAATACAGGGCAGCCCGGCTCCACCCACTGCTTTCTTCATTTCCTTCTATTTGGTAGCAGCTTTCACACAGGCAAGTGATGTTAGCGTGTGTCTTATTGAGGAAAGGAGTGGTATTTGACTCTGAATCTTCTTCCACTCAGGTGTTTCTCCTGCTGGGCACCGCTGATGTGGTGGTTCACTGCTTGTGGAAATGCGGCAGGGACCCTGATAGCTTCTCTATCCCGTATCTGACGGCTCTGGCGGATTTGTTGGGAACTGCCTTTCTAGCACTGTGTTTTCTTCTATTGTCATTGGTGACATAAATGTTGAAATGTCATTGTCATATTTCATTAAACAGAACACTATCTGATGTGCTGGTTTACATTTCTCGGCACAGTTGAACATTAGTGGATGACTTTACTTGAAATATTTGAAATATCAATCCGTCCCATACATGCAGTTCAATGAATCACACATGCTGCCTCATGTGACAATAGTACTTCTCCAAGTCACATGACCATCTTCACTGAATAAAGAACAGCTGTTTTCATATGTTAAACCTATGACTGATTTGCACTCATCTTCCTTGATTAGTATTTAGAGCAGCATTTTCAGTATGGTTCTAATAAATATGTTTTATGATTATTTGTATTTAGGTACATTGAGATGTGGCAGGCCATTCAATTAAATGGTATTGATGTCCAAATATTTGCGTTGGGCAGCATATACAATTTACTAATGTATTTTATTTTTCTATTAATTAGTTATTGTTATTTTAAAACAATAATGTCTTGGTGTTGCTAGTTTTATTATTTTATTATATTTTGCTGTGAAGGACATTAAAAAGTGTATGTATCAATGCTAATGTAGATTGATGAAAGGAAGAAAATTAATGAGGATAATTTGTATAAATGATTTACCTAGTTTACTACGCATAACATTTATAGTTATTTAACATTATTTAATATCCACAGTTCAATAAAATCATTTTACTAGTAATTTGTCTTTACATGCATGATATTACAAAAGGACAACATTAGAAATTGTTTTAATTTTTCTAAAAGGAATTTAGAATTTTATTTTATTCAACTCTTTTATTTTAATTTCTGAATAATGCCCATCCAGGCAACTGAATGTAAACAGACTTCTTTATACTATGTGAGAAACATTTTATAAAAAATATTAGCATGATTGTGATTAGCCTATACAAACAACATTAAAATAACAGATTTTTATATTGTTACTGTACTTTATTCAAAGCAAATCATTAAAGTGATAGTTCACTTTGAAATTAATTTTTGAAACGTTTTAGCTTACCTCAAGGGTTTCCAAGATGTAAGTTAGGTGTCTTTGTTTCCACAGTATTTTCAATTTTGACATTTTTCGGTCAAACTGGTGTTTTCTGTCAGTCATAATGCAGTTAGGGGGTCCACCTCAAAGAGAATACACAGCGAAGTCAAAATTAAACATAATTTAAAGACTCGTGAATGTAAGTACACATTGATGGTCTAAGACACGAAACGAGCGGTTTGTGTGAGAAAACGAACAGTATTTATATAGTTTTTACCTCTTGTTGGTTAACAGCCGTCGAAGTCCAACCGTCTCCAGACTTTACACCGGAAGTGATCTCTCGCGCGTCTACATCACGCATTTACCTTTCTTTTCACTGACACATTTAAATATATATAATGCATTAGGGAGCATTTTTTACCCTGTCATGGGTAAAAAAAATAAAATCTCATGTTTTTATGATGAATTGTTTTGTTCAAGACTTAAGTCCACTTCTGTACACACAAAACATTTGAAAAGTATCAGAAATAAATATAAAGATACAGAAAAGTTACCTTGATATAACGAAACAGAAAACGTTGATATCTATTAAAGGAATGCACGTGTTAAGCAGTAGACTGATCTTCTCAAGCCAATTTTAGTGCAGTGTAACAATCACTACCAATGGGAGGCGCTGTTTCGATACATTTCTGTTTTATTTTTAAACTTGCCTGTAGCGCCACCTGGTGTCCGAGTGAGGCTCCTCCTCGAGGACTGTTCAGCCCTGCGCAGGGACTGGCTCTCCCGCAGCCATTTTCTGTCCAACCAAACGGCCGAACTGAGACGCGAACCAACCAGGGCTTCATCGCAGGTTAGTGTGCGGCTCCGGCCAATGATTGCTAACCCATACTTTGTTACATCGAATGGAAATCTCCGCGTGCGAGTGTTTTATTATTAGTTGGCGGGGAGAATGAGAAATTAAGCGCGCGATATGAAAAGCAGCTCGCTGTTGTGGCAATTATTGTAAAAAGCCCGTCATGGTGCTCGGCCCCTTTGTTTACTACGACCCGTTTTGACGGATACACTGGAGCCTTGGCTCGTCGTCCTTGTTAACTGCCCTCTTCTGCTCTTTAATGCGTTTATCAATTAACTTAAAATAATTCATTGTAGCATTTTGTGTGAATATTTCAGGGGGAAATGTGGTTTGAGCATGTTTAATCTACATGTTCATTGATCATCACCGGCTGTTTAGCCAATAAAATACACCAATATGGTTTGGTATGTCGATACAATATAATATACTATACAGAGAAGAGTCTTATTATTAATCATATTCAAACCAGGCCGTTTTTTTAGCAATGTCATTTATATCACATGACATATTTTAATATCCTAGGTGTGTGTGTGTGTGTGTGTAGATATATGAATAGCAAACTATAAAATTTGTTTGTTTTGTTGTTCTTCATATGAAAAATACATGTTTGTGTGGAATAAAGTGATCCATTGAGCTGACAGTTCTGAATGAACGTTTATAACTGAATAAAATAAAGGTTACATTTATATGAATGGTTTATTAATTGTGCATATATGAAGACAAGATGGCTGTCTCAAAATATTGGATGCCCACGTGTAAATATAAGTCCAATAGTGCTCTGTGATGGCCCAAAATATTGTACTAGATAGGCAAGTCACTTGGTTTTAGGACAAGAGCAATATGTACAAATGTAATACAATTTAATTTATGTTTCAGATGGACGGAGACAGTTCAACCACAGATGCCTCCCAGCTTGGCATAACAGGAGAATATATGGCTGGTAGTCACTTTGTTCTCCAAACTCAGGATGGTAAGTGCCGTCAAACATCATATAAAATAATCCAAATGCTTTATTTAGTATTTATATATATTTTATATAATTTATTAATATTTAAATGAATAATTTGGAGTCATTTAAATAAATATAATTGTAAATAATAATTAAATTTATATATAGAATATTTAAATAAAAAAGAAGTGATATTTAAATGATTCTGAATTATTGATTTATTATTTATATTATGCATTTATTATTATTATTATTATTTTGTAAAGATGAAGGTGATGAGGGACTCAACGACCATGAGGATGGGAATGGAAGCAAAGATAACCTACGGGAACAAGACATCTATCTCCCAATCGCTAACGTTGCCCGAATCATGAAGAATGGAATACCGCAAACAGGAAAGGTAATTTATTTTTTCTGGCTTTGTTTGGAGAAATTAAATCCTTTTTTAAATGTTAATTATTTTTGTTTACGTATTAAAAAGATGCACATTTTGATCACCTTTCTATTAATTAATTTATTGTTTTCCTAAGCGAAAGTGAAACTTTCAAGTCAAATGCATGCTATTAAAAAAAAAATTCCTCCGTCCATCCAATCAGATTGCAAAAGACGCCAAGGAGTGTGTGCAGGAGTGTGTGAGCGAGTTCATCAGTTTCATCACTTCAGAAGCCAGCGAGAGGTGCCATCAGGAGAAACGCAAGACGATAAACGGGGAAGACATCTTGTTCGCGATGTCCACACTGGGTTTCGACATGTATGTGGAGCCTCTGAAGCTCTACCTGCAGAAGTTCAGAGAGGTAGCGTTAACATTTTTAATGCCATGCCAATGCCATCATATATCATTGAAATAAGGACTTTTTGGAAACACTTTTCACAGCTGTCAGAGTTGTGTCTTTCTCATTTTATTGGTAGATAGATCTTACATTTGTCTGTATGTTCTCAGGCTATGAAGGGCGAGAAAGGCATAAGCACTGTAACTGTAACCGAAGGCATGGGAGAGGAGCTGACCGATGAGTCTTTCAGTAAGTAACTTATGAACTTGATGGGTATGTTACTGGTGCAGTGGCTTTCTACACACAGCTAAACCTGAATGTATTCATTTGTTTATATACTATATAGTATTAGAGTTATCTTTTTATATTTCCAGATTTAATTTTAGGTTAAGTGTTAAAAGTATATTTTTTCTTTTAATATTTTTGTGTAAATTCTTTTTTCTTTCTTTTAGTTTTCAACACAAACTTGTTTTATTTCATTTACTTGCAAAAGTAACATTTCTAATTTTAATTATGCTATATAAATATTTCCTTCATGCATCCAAGCTCACAATAAATATCTGGGCTGCGTTCTGCCCCAACAAAACGTTACACAACATTTTTTTAAACAGAAACGGTGATAACTATTAGGATTTTTCCATTTTAGGCCCAACAGGCTAACAATTCTAACTCTCTGAAACAGAATATACTAAAACGTTCAGTCGTATGTTTTTGAATGTTGTATTTTGTGTTGCCATACCATAGACTTTGGTTTGATTTATACAACACAAACATCATGATCTAACACAATGAAATATTATTCTTTCTCAGCAAATCCACTACCTGCAGGGATCATAACAGCTGATGGACAGCAACAAAATGTGATGGTGTACACCACCTCCTATCAGCAGGTGAGAATGCTAGCATGTTCTTTGCTGCCAAAAACATCAGACGTGATCTTTCATCTATTCAAACCAAGTGTCAATCATTTTAATTGAAGATAGCACACTTTTCAAGTATTTTGAGTGATGCCTTTATGTGCGTTGCAGATCCCGGGTGTGCAACAGCTCCAGTTCTCCTGAAGATGTGCTGCGCTGTCACATGCAGAAATCCACACCTAATCTTCATAAATCAAGCCTCTACACTTCCACATACAAGTGAAGGTCCTGAACGGTGGGCTCTGTGTGGTTGGTCTTCAGCGGACCCTCTTCTTCTGCTCTCACAGGTCACAGAGCTGGACTTCTTCGTTTAGCTTGTTTTCAGGTGTCCTCCGTGTGTTTCTGTGCACACCCGTTATGATTTTAAGTGACTAGTCTGTTTGTTGTTTCTTTTGTTTGTTTTTTGCATCACACATTGGGAGTTTTAAAGGGTTCCAAGGGGTTTCAAAATAACTTGACCTTCAATTAAAGCAATAAAATAAAACAAATGTGAATCTTTCTGCAATTTACTGGAATGAGTGCTTTGCTCCTTTATATAGATAGATGAAAATCATGTTGCATGTATAATTTCAGTTTGAGAAGATGTTAACTCAAGTCAAAATGTTTTTTTTTTTTGTAAATTATTTTTTTGTTTTTCTCAATGTTTTCATGAATTTGTATTGATGCAGTTCGCTTAACATGAGGAACACATTTTAAAGAAATCTGGATTTATCAATCAAAGTAAAAAACAACAACTACTAAATTCTAGTCTAAGTTCTTCAATGTGGCCCATTTTATATCAGTGACTTTCTTTGAATGAATTTACATTAAATTCTTGCTGGCCACAAATTATTTTATGTGTTTATTAAATTTTATTTACACCTTAAATATTAATTTTGAAACAGTTGTGTGCTTTAAATACACAAACTGTGAGTCCATAACATGGACAACAACAAATTTTTAACACAAAATCATTTTTAAAAACATTTAATTAAAAAAAAAATGTTTCTTTGTCCCACAGTTGTGTCGTAATTTCTCCAATATTCTGATTTTTATGTTTCTCACACAGCATAAATGCGTTTATGGCCAGTGGGATAATGCATATCTATTTGACTGTTGATATTTTGTCGATAACACCTGGGAATATTATCAAACTTATGTTTTTGTTTTGGATTTCTTGTGTATTTGAAATCTGTTTCATGACAACACAAAAATAAAGGACAAATTTGTCACCCTGTTTTGAGAATGATCCCAACCAAAATAGAAGAAAGTGTCAAATAAATACAGCCTGAATGGTGTCTTAAAGAGACAAGACAGCGATGGCACAATACACCCAAACCAACCCAGCTGAATGAGAATTTGGGAAACTCTGTCTTAGATGGTAATGGAAAAAATATATGACAGTTCAAGTTTCAGGGAAGGAAGAGGACAAGGTCAGTTTGTGGAGACTGTGGGTTTTTATTTGAACCAAAAATAAACTGAACAAACTCAAAGTTGTGCACACAGCGCTATGTAAAAGAACTCTATAGAGTGCCGAAGTTACGACGTCCCTTTGTAGGCCAAAACGTGGAAGTGAGTTAGCATTTTAGCTCTCCCGGTTCCCTCGGCCTAAAGTCTATGGGATTTTTGAATGGGTTTTTGCTAAATCACCTGAAATGGTCTGTGGTGAACATAGATCTATGATATAAAACGCACAGTTATAACCTGCTTGTGGTTTTTTAAACTTTATTTAAATACATTTTGCAATACTGTACTTTAACTGTAATATGCAATCACTTTTCACTGCACTTTTACTCGGATAGCTTGTGTCCGGACGACTTTAGACGAGTCGACTGTTTACGGACGACTGCTGTCATAAAACACAACATAAGTTCAGGCCTCTCTCAATATTCATAACATTAAGTACAAGCAACTTGGACATTTTATTCATTTGAACTTAAATCATATTAAACTTATTTAAAAAAGAAAGTAGTTGATTCTTGTAAAACTTGTATTAAAAAAAGTTTAAAATTGCTTTAACTTATTTTGATGAGTTAAAGCAATGTAAAAATGTTGTCATAACTTATTGATCATACTTTTTTTTTTTTCGCTAAATCCTTTCCTGAGTGAATGTTTTGTTCATAAATTTCAAAGCATATGTTTTGCGCTAACTAGCGCTGAAACCCCTATAGGGCCAGGAGCATCTACCATATATCGCATTAACATCTGTACAGCTATTCGTAACCAAAATCGTCCTAATTTTGGTATTATGCTTTTAGACTATTGAACTTTTTGTCATGTCCAGGCTCCTGTTGTCTCCTACTTTTTGTTGTATGTTTGATCATGGTCTTTTTGTAAATAAATTGTGGGTTCTCACCTCGCTTGCCTCCATTGGACTTCAATCGTTACGGTAACAGTGTGAACCGCCCCATCAGACAGTGTGTCTGGGAAGAGGCTGGTGAAGCGGTAGGGGGTCGCCCTGGAGGTGTGATATCTACAGACAAAAAGCCCTTTGAACAGTTTGCACTGAAACTGTCTTTTGGACCTTGAACCGTTTGGTTACCATTGAAGTCCATTATATGGAGAAAAATCCTGGAATGTTTTCATCAAAAACCTTAATTTCTTTTCATCTGAAGAAAAAAAAGACATGGACATCTTGGATGACATGGAGGTGAGTAAATTATCAGCAAAAGTTTTTTTTTAAAGTGCTCCTTTAATTTGTATTTTACTTTCCCTTTAAATGTCCCTTTTAGCTAAAACATCATCATTATAATATGCTACCTTCTTCTTATTTAGCAGTTGTTTAGGTTTCTTTGATACACATGGCTTATTATTTGGAAATAATTTATACGTTTTGGTGGGTAGAACTGACAAAAATCTATATAATCAGAGGCCACATTTGTGTGAGTATCCAGATCTGGGGATTCAAATGTTTCCAACAAAGTACACTCAAAACATCCTTGAAGGCACATAATATACTCTTCATTCCAAATCTTTACAGTCTTAACCTAAGGTTTTTCTCTTTCAAGACGTCTTTGATATTTGGGCTGAAAATTAACAATGCAATGATCATCTCCCCAAAGGAGGTATAGCGTTGAGGCAGAAAAGACATCTTTAACGTTGCCATAACACTTGTCCAATCAATGTCTTATTTTTTCCTGGTGCAACAGTTCACATACTGGTAGCAAGTCATCAAACAGTTTTTCAAGGAGGTCTTTGTGAAAGTTGATACAATCAACTTTCCATATCTTTGTGAAAGATATGGTTATAACCATATCTACCCTGTTAACCTAAAACCTGCTCCAGACTATAACACTATCAAGAATTAATGACATATGACATTCCTAAAAGTTCCTATAAATATATATACATTTTAAATGAAAAGGTTAACTGCTTACTCTGAGTATACTGGTTTAGTTGCTAAACTTTTGCTGAATTTGCATACTACTCTTTCTATTCTTTCTATGGGAAAATTAATATGGCTCTCGAGCACTGAGCGTCAGAACAGCAAGGGACAATAACAGTTTTTCCCCTCAGGCTATTCGGTCTGAACAATTAAACTCTCATAACTATAGACTGTCATAACTGTACATTCATACATAACATCTAAAATTGTACATCTGTAAATTAGGCTACCTAATAAACTGTATGCTACACTTGTATAACATATCAGTACATTCATTAAAACAAATATAAATATATTGGCCTATAAATATTTTTAATATATATATTTCTACTACTGTATTATATTGAATTGTTTACATTTTTATTTCTTATATTATTGTTATATTGCATTTCTAATCGTGCTCTCGTTCCCAGATCGCATGTTGCCAGATCCCATTGATTTTACCGAAATATTGAATAAAATGGATCAGAGGCGAAACGGCAGTAAATGAAATAATTAAAATAATTACGATTTAGATTTTAAATAATAAAACGTTATTATAACAAATTAAAAATAACAGAATAAGAACGACAACCCTAAAATCGACGTAACAAAATGGACCTGGCAACACGAGCCAACGGTCCCGCCCCTCGTGAGCCTGGCCTGAAAAGATTGACTGAGACTGAGAGGAAGTAACGTTAGTCAGAGAAAGCAACTGAATGAAATACATCGCTGTGGAGTGTTTCTTACAAGAATCTTCAGTAAGTTATTGAATGCTGCTTTGAAGTGAATATGTTATTGTTTATCATTTGGCCTTCATGTTTAAAAAAAAAAGCACTTTGAATCCCCGTTTTTTGATTCGTCCAGAAGTTCTCCAAATCTCGCTGTTTTTCACTAAAAATATTTGGAGAGCCGAACAAAGCTTAATATCCGCGTTTAAAGCATCTTGTTTTTACGTGTTGAATTAGAAAAGACATTCCTTCACAAAACCTTTTGGGAGTATTTAAAGGCGATTTCCTGTAGGGTTTGTTCAATTGTTCCTTAAATTCTGTTAGTGCATGAGGTCAATAAAATCAGCGACGTAACGTTACTGATTTTATAATCAGTAATTCATGGCAAACATCTAAGTTAACGTTAGTCAACGACATATAACGTTAGACCTTAGTTTAAATGCGTAATGTTATCTTCCAATTAAAGATTTTACGTGCTACAGAAACTTTGTAGAAATGGAGCTGGGTTGCCATATTACAACAACAAAGTATTTCAGTGGGCTAACTTAATTAAGTTGTAACGTTATCCCCCAAGAATCTGTTTGTAACGTTAGCTACTTTTGAAGAATATTTAAATTAACAGATGTGGACTTGCACAAAATTAAAATCGTTAAAGTTATTTTGATTAAAAATTACGAGGGCACGTGAATATAAAAAAATAAAATGATATAAATAAATAATGACAAAAAAATGGAAGCTTCTTATCTTCCACAAATAAATTAAAAATGTAATTGTCACTTTAACATAGGCCTAAACTCACAATTGTGAGTTATAAAGACAGAATTGCGAGTTAAAAAGTTCAAATTTATTGTGAGATCTAAATTTGCAATTCTGAGAAAGTCATTTTACCTCCCTTAGCGTTGGACTTTTTAATTCGCAATTGCAACTTTAAATCTCACAATTCTGAAAAAAAGTTAGAAAGTTAGATTTGCAAGATGTAAACTTGCAGCAAGATGTAAACTCAACTGCAGCAAGCCCACTAATCTATAGATGATATGCCCTCCAGACATTACAGCTCCTTTTGGGGTCAGCAGTGGTGTTCGACAAGGGGTGTTGGATTTTTCCCCTCTTTTCCCTCCTTGCTTTTAAATTGTTTGCATTGCGTGTCCTGTCCACTGGCGCAGAGTAGAGTGAGCGTTTTAAATTAATTCCTATGGAAGTTTAACTTCGGAAGTTTTTGGTGTGAGTAAACATTGTTCCTTGTGGGACACCATTTAGACAAGATGGTAGCAATTGTTTTAAACGTGGTGGGGGTATAGGCTACTTTTGGAAAAGGGAAGAGTCAGCAGTAACAATGAACCGGTACTAAAGATTAGAGCCCGACCGATAAAGGATTTTGAAGGCCGATACGATACAAATAGTTGTTGGTTTTAAAATCCGATATATCTGAATTTAAAAAATATATTTGGTTGGGATGAGTCACTGAGTATTTAATTATAGATTATCAAATAGGTTGCTATAATTGTCTAAAAAAAAATCGCTATGATTTCGGTGCTGATGCGGTGGTGACACGTTCTTGTAACATAAGGATGGCACTGCCAATAAAGCACCTAAAAGCTGACGCAAAGAACCGACAAAAGTAATGATTATGAATGTCAAATATAGCAAGGAGATATTTTTCATTGTTTATAAATGATGTCAATTAATGATGTTTTCTGCCAGTGTCAACTGCTAAGATAAAGTTAATTGCGATGCTGACTCTCGATCTTGACTGTAGTGAACGCGCCAGATAAATGCACTTTTCATACGGATTATATAAGCAGAGAGCAGTCTGTTTTCTTTTGTTTTTTATTGTTCAGATTAAAAGATATTTCTATAGATTGGCCCTATATCAGGGGTGCTGCCCAACCCTGCTCCTGCCGGTCGACTGTCCTGCACAATTCATCTCCAAACCTAATCAAACCTGCCTTTAATTTAAAAGTGATCCTAAAGACCTTAGTTATTTGCTTCAGGTGTGTTTGATTAGGGTTGGAGATAAACTGTGCAGGAGCAGGATTGGGTACCCCTGGCCTATATATCTTGCCACCTAAAAATTAACGATGGTTTGTCGCGTCCATGTACGTCGTGTGTATTTCCCTCATATTAAATATAAAATGCATGTGTACTGTGTAGACTTATTTTTCTAATGTCTGGACATGTACTGGACTTTATTAAGGGAGTAGGCTATGGATATATAAACAGAAATGTCAATATATTGGTATTAAATGCATTTTCTGAGAATTTATATTTCAAGTTTTGGCTGCAAATTTCATGTCCATAACAACTAGTTTTGTGATGTAGGTCTATGTATTTTATTAACTTAAAATAATACTAATAGTAATTTAAAGATGTGGTAGCATTGGATCTGGACAGGAAGGATAACTTTGGGAGTTGGGGGGGTGGGGGCTTGGGTGTCCTGATTCTGCCTTTTCATATTGCGATACCGGTTTGTAGATCTGAGTATTGTGATTTAGATTTTTATATTGCATATCGTTACAACCCTAGAATTTTCCTTTTGGGTGAACTAACCCTTTAAATATGTTTAACGGCATCTTTTTATGAAAGAAGACATCCCCAATTTTGATATGTATTGCCTCTATTAGATTAATTTCCTCCCTCCCTCAATTTTAGCTATTAAGTATAGCCATTTAGAACTGAAGAACTAGCCTAATTAATTAACTCTGTCTTCTATTATTAAATTGTTTATCTGGTTTTAAATTTTTGCCATGGTATTATCAAAATAATATTATTGGTATCATGAAAAGTATTTTGTACCCTAATATTTTGCTTTTTTTTTTTTTTTCAGGGATGTGAATATCCCACCCCTTCAGGAGATAAAAGTGAACATTTATTAGCATGCAAGCTAATTCACAACAATCAGGACAACTGCAAAATGTGCATGAAAAAGCGACCACACCTGGAGATGGGACATCTAATACTTTGGGCCAAAAGTTTTATCAGCTATGTTTACCATCTCACGCTCCAAGCCCCTCCTATCAAGGACAGGGGGCCACTGGAAGTTATTTGACACGGTTCACCTGCACAATCCAACCAGCAACCAGTGACCAGATTTTGACTAGTAGCATTCAAGCTACCAAAAACAAAATGCTTACACAAGAAAATACTCTTACTTCAAAACATACGTTGCTGACAGGAAATCAGGACTCGCGAAGGATTCGTGGAACATTGTGGAACGTTCCCTCTAATTACCAGATAATCTTACCTGTCAACAGCATAAATTTACAGGGTGCTCCCAACAACAATGGGCCAAACATGTCACATGGCTACAAGTACCAGTCATTGGTTCCTGATAAGCTAACCCATGCTAATGTGCAAACGCCTTCTACGTGTGGTCAGAACATTGCTGCACAGAGAGCTGTTGCCGTTGTCACGCCATTATCACCGATAGGAACAGCACCTGTTAACATTTCAGACCAATCCTCTAATATGAAAATGAATGTAAGCTCTGTGCAAGAGGTTGTATGGCATCAACCAAATATTCAACATGCTTTGGAGACCAATGCTAAACCTAATAGCCAAAAAGGAGAACCAATTGACCCAACAAGCAAGCATCTACGCCCGAAGTCAGCAGAGCCGAGGCTGAATGATGGACTTTGCCATGTTGGAGCCAAAAGTCCCATTTGGACTGAATCAACTGACCAAAGTCGCCGCAAAAGTTCACCGAAGCTTAAAAGTGTGGTTGCAGAACAAAAAATGTCTATGCCAACTCAAATGCAAAATGAAAAGATAAACAATAACTCCACGTTCACAGACAAGAAAACTGCTGAAACTGAAACCATTCCTGTTATTGAATGGCCAATAGATCGATTGCACATCTTAATAGACATGATTCAGCAAATGGAAAATGGGCATCAGAAGAATGACCAAAAAACTGATGCTGGGATGGACATCTTAAAGCTTTATTGGAATGGGGATTTCCATGAGTTTTATAATGCTGTACAAACTGGTACATATCGAAGCATAATGGAAGAAGTCTATGCTTACTGTCCGAACACAGAGCCTGTGATACTGAGGCAAATTAAAAGTGATGCTCTTAGCAGAGTCAAGGATTTTCATGTTTTAAAACACAACGAAGAGCCACCGAAGATGACATATAAGTCATCTTGGTTAAATCTTAATGAAAATGTTGATGACATCGACAAGGAGTGTGGTTATTCTTGGTTCTATAAGTCCTTTCAAAATGCCACTGACCATGAAGCACAAAACTCAAATGGTTGCACAAAGGAGGCACAAAAGATTGAGAACCAAATACCAGCAGAAGAACCAACATTAGACAATGAGTGTCTTTCTGAAAGCTTGATTAATAGACAATCTCCACATGTGACTGATGCTGACTGCTCACCAACACGTGATTGTTTGGTTGCAGGACAAACCAATAGTCAAACAAAAACAAATTCTTTAAAGAACATGATTACTGTTGTGAAAGATTTGGATCAAAAAGATGTCCAGACTCAAATGGCCAGTTCGGAGGACAACTTTTGTAATGATGTTGGAGCCCAAGGTGTTTTGTCGCCTAAATCAACCAGCCAAAGGGACTGCACGAACTCACCAAAGTTCAGTGTGGTAGCAGAACAACCGCATGAAATAGCTGAACATTGTGAGACTAGTGAGATGGAACAAAATGTCATTGCTGCATCACCAGACAAGCATGAGACAAATTTGTTAAACTCCTCCCCAGAAATTAACAAAGTACAGGTAGAAGAACAAACATCTTTGGAGAAAAATATGCACAATGAGAGTCTTTATGAAAAATTGCCAGTTCCCTTAAATGCTCATTCTCCAACTGTGACTGATAACTGCTCACCGAAGGTTAATTTGGTTGAACAAACCAGTCACCAACCAAATACTACAAATCCACTAAATGGAATAATTAATCTGGTTAAGACATTGAATGAACGCCAATATTTAAGAAAGTATCAGAAGTTAGTTGATAAACGCAGTGGTTTGAAAAGAAATCATCAAAACTCCTTTAGAACATTAAGACCGAACAATAGTTTTTGTGATGACGTTGGAGCCAAAAGTCCTGTGTTGACCAGTGAATCATCCAGCCAAATTGAATGCAGGAGTCCTAGTCATGTAGTTGAAAAACAAGTGGAGTTAACTCAAGTGCAAAATGAATCCAGTGACTGTGATAACCGTGCAAGATGTGAATCTAATCCAAAACCTAGTCAAGAACTTTCTGTGCAAATGGATGAAGAGGAGATGGATGCTGAGATGGATGCTTCAGCTTCTATTAGGATTGATGTTCTTCCTCATGAAGTGGCTAAACAATGCTTTGCTGGTCAGTTGATGGAACTTAAAGACTTGTCTGCAACACCAGAGATTAGGTTGGAAAAGGCTGATGGTAACTGCCCGCTGAACGGCAATGAGGTTGTGGAACAAATCAATCATCCATCAAATACAATTCATCCACTGAAGGTCATGAAAAATCTGGTGAGTCGAGTGGGAGAATGTGACGTTTTGAAAAACAAGCATCAACCCTCCTCTACAACATCAAGGCTGGTTGATCGTTTTTGTAATAGAGCCAAACGTCCGGCATTGACTGAATCATCCAGGCAAATTTCCTGCGCGGGTCCACCGAAGCTTCATCCTGTGATTGCAGAACCATTTCAAATGCAATTCAATGAAGAAATGCCTGAAATTGACTGTGTACTTGCAGATGAGGGTGTGAGATGTGAGACTGATCCAAAATCAAGTCACGAACTTCCTGTGCAAATGAAGGAAGAGGAGATTGTCGAGATGGATGCTACATCTTGTATTAGGATTAATGTTCTCCCTCAGGAAGTGGCTAAACTATGCTTTGCTAGTCAGTTGATGGAAGATCAAGACATTGCTGCACCACCCGAGATAATGCATAAGACCTCTTTGTATACACCTCAAGACGCCATATCAACAAAAGAACAGCACATGTGGAGGTTGGAAAAAGCCAATGGTAACTGCTCAAATAACTCAAATATAGCACATCCACTGAAAGCCACGACGCATCTGGTGAGGCCGGTGGAAGAACAACATCAAACTGAAAAATGTGAGATTTTGAAGAATGAGCATCACCTTGCAAATGCAACATCAAAGATGGATGACCGTTTTTGTAATAAAGCCAAATGTTCTGTGTTGTCCACTGGATCAACCTGCCAAACTGAATTTACCAGTCCACCGAAACTTAATCCTGTGATCGCAGAACCATCTCAAATGCGAAATGAATTCAATGAAGAAATGCCTGACATTGATTATATGCTCACAGATGAGAGTATGAGGTATGAGACTGCTCCAAAACCCAGTCAAGAACTTGTTTTGAGAACAAATGAAGTGGAGACTGACAAGATGGATGTTTTAGACTCTATTAAGATCAGTGTTCTCCCTCATGACATGGCTGAGCTATGGTTTGCTGGTGAGATGAAAGTTAAGGATTTACAGGAAGACACTGATGTTCATATTACCACTGAGGACCAGGTTAAAGTTCAAGTCCTAGAGCTCATGTCTGAAAAAGAATTCCCTCTAGAAGATGTGAAGCCAAAAGAGGGTAAATCTCAAAGTTCTAGTGGTGAAAAGCTGGAGTCTTTCTGTTGTCTTGCTAAATGGTTTAAAACTTTAGAATATGGCGATGGCTCATTGTGTACATGCCAGAGAAAAACAGAGTTAAGAGAAGAGACTAAAACTGAGGTCCATGGCACAAGTTTAGAGTTGCAGACTGAAAAAGAGGATATTAACGAATTGGTGGAACTGGACAATTCTGCTGATTCTGAAACCGATGATTCTGAGACCACAGAGGACGAAATTCCCAGTTGGGTAGTTCGGAAAGGGGTTAAGAAAAATATTCTGAAGGACATATCAAGTTCTGAAGAGGTTTGTAAGATTGAGACTGAAATTGCAGAGCAGACAAGAGATGACTCTCCTTCAAAATGTATGACAAACGTGACCGTGAACAATGAGATTGAGCAAGACACCCCAACACCTGATTTGAAGAGGACGACCAATACGATATGTCTTGCACTGTATGGGTCATCTTCTGGAAGAAAAGAAGTGAAGCCAACTAAAAGATCTAAAGGGAAAGAAAGTTGTGAGGAACCCCCAGAAACTCTTCAAATAACTATATCCTCTCATCAGAAGATTAAGCCAGCGAATTGCAAAGGGGTGGAAGCACGGGATGAAGGTGTTGTGAATAAGAGAGCGAGATTACAGAAAGCATCCTTCAAAGACATGGCTCTTCACAGAACCTTGGCCTCACTTCCTGTTTCTGAACTCTGCAAAAATGAACTTTCATCTACCTCAAACAAAAAACTGCTTGGTCCAAGTACTAATGCAAAAAGTGAAGTCCGTTTGGGCAAGGGAAATAAGCGAAAGAGACTGCCTAATATTTCAACGCAACAAATGTCTATGAATAAATATATCATCAGAAGGAAGACTGCGCCATCCAAATTATTGCCTCCAGCTGAGAATGTAACAAAAAGTAAATATGAGTTGGGGAACCCCGCTTTGATGCCATTAGAGGAGGGTCTTTCATTGGAATTCAAAGTATTGCCAGAGTCTTTTAACTTTGAAGATGGAGCTGAACTCAATTGCGCTCAAGCCGACACAACACAGAGTACGCATAATGGTAACTGCTGAAAAACATATGCTCTCAGTGCATGTAAGTTTATCAAATGTGCACTTTTTAAAATACTTCTTCTCTTTTCTTAAGGGATATCAGGCCCAGAAGAGAAAGTTAAGCAGATGGAAACTAATTGTTCGCCAACCCCAGGTACTACAACACCAGGTAATTTAAATTTAGCTTCTTATGACGTTAAAGCTCATTGAATAATGATTAATAAACACAATGGTAAAAGTAAATTTCCAATAATCACAGGTTGGTGTTCAATTCTCACAATATACCCTTGGTTAGGCTTTAGATTACTTGGATTGAACCCTGTATCTGCCTATCATGCAGGGGCGTAGAATTTATTAGGGACGTGCCCCTTACCAATATCCAGTGACAGTGATATCCCTAGCAATAATTTCAAAACAGCAATAAATCAAAACCTAAAATATATTTATATATTGATGTCCCCATCCCCACCAATTTCAAAATCAAACCTACGCCACTGCTATCATGTACCATTTTTATGGCAGGTAGTGTAACGCTTATCTAAATGGTTTTGTGCTCGTCTATCTGCAGGTGTTTGGAGTTTCAGCCCCTTGAAGAAAAAGCGCACTCAGCCCATCCAGGTCACAGACGTCTCCGGCTCATGTAGCCTCTTCCAGGAGTTTAAGAAGAGATATCACAAAAAGAAGGAAATCGCCTCAAAGTAGAATTTCAATGAAAGACCTTGATTCCTTATTAAAATTTAAGCAAATTGTTCCATTTGTTTTGTGTTACTTCCTGTTAATGGGATGAATCTAACAACTGCAAATTGCTAAATATACAGGTTCATTTTTACTGTCTACTTGAAGTTTTGTATTATATTATAAATGCACCACTTGCACACTGATCATACGGTTCAACAGCTGCTAGTAACGTTTTTCAGTATTTGAACGAGTGTGAGTTTGATACTTGTACTACATTTTCAAGAAACATGTTTTGTTATGGAGGTTTTTTTTTTTAATTGTGCTTTTATTTTGATTCCACTGGTTTGTAAAAATGTGAAAATCTATTTTTGTACAATTTTATAAAACTCTTTGTATTGCTTCTTAATAAAACCATTTTGTAATACCTTTTGTGGTTACTCTTGGATTTTAAGGTTTGTTATGCCCTGATTAACTGCAGTTGGCAATTAACAATACAACATATTTACATTGAGCTTTAAATATTCAACATTGACAAATAATGGCTAACCCAAATTAAAAATAGTAGATTTAAATGTGGAATAACTGAACGTTTCAAAAAACAAAAGGGGGGAAAATAATTATATATATTTTTAAAAAAATAGTTTTTTTGTTTTGTCGCTTGTGAATGACGTAATATTATTGTGTCCCGCCCACGCTGTTAAACCAATGCGAGGAGTGACGAAGATGCCAGATACAGTTGATGTTGCTAACAAATAAGAAAAAAATTCATGTATTTTCCTCGTGATATCCTCGCGGTAAGCTAACGTTAAATAAACAACGCAGGAAGCGACCAAATCATGGCTACCGTAGATTCTCTTGTGAGCTTGTGAGTAACACCAAAGATAAAGTCCTTGTCGCTGATAACACACATAATTTAGATAAATATGTAAATTTGTACAACTATTGACACAGTTCCTTCCGTTCGTTTCTCCGTGCACAGGTGTGCTTTTTGTGTTGCTCGACGATGTGAGAAGTATGATGAGATCAGGATGTTACCTGCTGCCCTTAAAGACAGAATATTACGTAAAAAGATGTCGTGTGGCACGGTCACCGACTCCAACATCAGCCAGGTAAGGTGTCCTCTCCGACAAGAGCATTTTGTGATGATAATATACAGTGTACAATATGCAGTGTCTTTGTTATTTGTGTTTTAGCTCGTGCACGCTGGAACTCACACACTGGATCTGCAGAACTGCGTGGTGTCAGACTCAGCGCTTAAACAAATCAACTGTCTGCAGTTGAGGGAAATACTGTTAGAAGACTGTGCAGAAATCACATCTGAGGGTATTTTCACATATTATTACGGTTTATGGGGCAATGGGGGTCATATAAATATTAGATGAAAAACGTAAAATACTTAAACTTTGAAAATAATAGTCCCAGCTAAGCTAGTCCTAGACTAAAATGCATGTTTGAGTTGTTTTAACTGAAAAGCAACTTGCACTGATATTTCTTAAAATGTCGGTGCCATTGTTTTGTCTCAAAAAGCACACCAGTAATGTTTTTCTCTAAGGCATGTTTATAAATATCCTAATTTGAACTAAGGCCTAATCCAAGCCTTGTCTGTACTATTTACTATTACTAAAATGAAAACTGAAATAAAAATAAAGTTAAGTAGATTTTATTTCTTAAATTCCAAAAATGCAATTTGAAAAATTACTTAAATGGAATTGGTCAAGACATCAACCTTCACTATATTTGTATTTCCTACAGGTGTAGAGGTGTTGGCGTCCCGCTGCCCCTGTCTTCAAGTAGTTGATCTCACAGGCTGTACGGCTGTGACAGATTCAGGCATTCAGGCTCTTGCTCTACACTGCAAAAGTTTAAAAGTGATTTCGCTCTCTGGCTGCATTGCTCTCAGTGATCAAGCCCTGCTGGAGCTGGGGACGAACTGCAGGAGGCTGTACAGCATTTACTTTTCTGGGACAAATGTAATTTACACTATTCTTGGGCTTTCAGACTTGGGTATACAATATTACAGATGAGCCAAAACATTATGACAACCTGCCTAATTCCCTCTGCGTGCTGACAATACAGCACCGACCCGTTAAAGAATGGACTCTACAAGACCCATGAAGGTGTCCGGTGGTCTCAGTTATATTAGCAGCAGATCCTTAAAGTCCTGTATGTTGCAATGTGGAGCCGCCGCGGATCAAACCTGTTGGTTCTGCTCATCCCACAGATCCTCAATTGGATTCAGATCTGGGGAATTTGGAGGCTTGTGTGCACCATCACTGCCCCAGATAAACGGCACATATGTACACGGCCGTCCAAGTGATACTCATCTGACCAGCCGTTCTTCTTCCTCTGCTTCAAGGTCCAGTTCTGTAGCCACTTTGTGTTATCCCATAAACATCATTAACATTTACACAGTAGATCTTCTGCTGTCTTGGACCAGACAGGATAGCCTCCGTTTCCCTTGTGCATCGATGAGTACCCTGTCGCCGGTTTGTGGTTCATCCCTCCTCGGACTCAGTTGGTGAACTCAAAAGCCTTGACGTTTCAGAGATACTCTGACCCAGTCGACTTGCCATAACAATTTGGCCCTTGTCAAAGTCACTCACCCATTTCTCCTGCATCCAAAATGTTGATTATGAGAACTGATTGTTTGTTGCATCTAATCTACCCAGATCTTAATATGTGGCCTTGTTAGGAGATGATCATGAACCTGTGACTTCTCATAATGTTTTGGCTCATTAGTGTAAGTATATATAGCATACAAAATCAAAATGTGACTCTGATATTTTGCTTGTACTTATTGTTGTTTATTGTTTTCACCAAATACTTACTAGTAAATTCTATTTAAAGGTAACTGATCAAGGGGTCATTGGACTTGCGACAGGAGTTTGTTCACGTAGCTTAAAGGTATTGCATACAGATTTGAATTTTTTCATTAAGACTATTTAAATTTTGTATTATTTATTGATAACTTGTTTATCATCACACATCACAGGAGTTACAGATGGCACGATGTCGCAATTTGACTGATCTGGCTGTGACTGCTGTTCTTGCAAACTGTGCAAACATCAGAATTTTCAATTTCCATGGATGTCCCCTGATGACAGGTAGTCACATGGTACCTGACATAAAACATACATATTGTTGCCCAAACATGAAATTTCAGTGCATTCACACCTGCTATGTGTCTGTTTGTCTGTTTTAGGTAAGTCGAGGGAGGCACTACAAAACCTTATTGGCCCCGGCAAGATCCAACAAGTTTCTTGGACTGTGTATTGATGCGATTAACTGAACTGATCTACAGCACACCAACTTTATTCTCATACATGTAATGCACACATCCAGGAAGATAAACATCATCCTTTTGAAATTCACTAAATTGTCAATGTTTGAGGTATAAAAAAAGAAGATAAAATGTAATTAACTTTAATTAACTGTAATTAACTTAAAATATATAATTATTATGTAAGAATGTTTTGTTTACTGATTGTAAAATAAATTGTAAAGCAACCATTGACGTTGGTTGTCAACTTTTATTTACCATTACTAGAATGAGACTGAAGTCTGAATTTGACAAAATCCATTATGCTGGTGTTGTGAGGATTATTTAATTAGTTTGTGCTTAGATCATTCAGGGTAGTTAGCTGCTCTTTTTTGCGTTCTGTGAAGAAGAAATTGTTTGCTCTTTTTCTGCAAAGAACGTGATTTATTCAAATAAAATGAGGAACTGCTACTGTCAACCACATGATAAAATAAAATTAAGAGTCATTTGAAAGAGGTGACTGAAAACCATAGCATACTTTTTGGTCAGAATTTCAATTCAGAGGTTCAATTTGATTCATGCAGCTGTCTTGAGTGTTGTACTTTTTTGGATTTTTTCATTATAATTTTTTTCATCATTGCAAAAAGAACTACTTCATCCCTCTGAAAATGTAAGGTGTTTTTATATTTATTTGTATTTTTTATTTTAAACTTAAACTGCTTATATCAATTTTTGTAACATTTGTTATTATTCAGTAAGTTATATATTTTATTTACAATCATTTAATTTAAAATAGTTCCTTTTATAGAACCCGTGTGTGTGTGTGTTTCAGGTATTGCCTGAGCAAAATTTGGCCCATGAGCATAACGGCTTATAAATTATATTTATTTATATTTTTTGAAAATGTAAAAAACGCATAAAGTTTTTTTGTGAGGGTTGTGTTTAGGTGTACGGGACAGGATATATACAGTTACAGTACAAAATCATTATGTCTATGGAAAACCCATAAACATGCTGGTCTCTACACACACATTTTTAAATTGGCCATAACATTTTGGGGGAATATGAAAAGGTCCTGTTTGTCATATTACGTTTGCGAATTTGGTTTGGCATTTGCAAATTAGGAGCACTAGGGTGTAAGGTTAGACTCGGTCGAAATGTAGACACACTAGGGTGTAGGGTTAGACTCTGTCGACGTCTAAGTGTAGACACGCTATGGTATATTATAAGATGTAGTTAGGAAAACATAAGGACATGGCTAGATTTCTAAAAAATAATAACCCATGACATTGAGAAATCAAAGAACTAATAACCCCATGACTTGGGTAGAATTAAATTTGCTTTGCAAGTAACAGAGAAGGGAGGGATAGATGGATTTGCACATATATAGAAACGTGCAAGTATTTTTTTTTTAAATTGATTTAATTATATACATGGTACACATACACATGAATGCATTAGCTGTTAAAGATTAGGTTTATAGTTGTAGGACCACACTGTGCTACTTGTTAGTCCATAATTCTCCTCTTTAACTGAGTCTGGTAGCTCAAAGTAAGCCTGCTGATGTAATAATTTTCTAATGTCATGGCTTTCAAATTGAGCCCGTCCTGGGTCACCAATGAGCACTTGTGTTCCATGTGTGCTTATACACGTCTGGAGCCACTTCTGCAGATGATCAGCCATACCTTCATCATAGAACATGTCTCCTAGAAGAATGAGATCCCAGGCCTCAGGCTTTGAACCAATCATGTTTTCTGTCACACAAGGTAAAGGGTCCACGTTGTTCAGTTCACAGTTCATTTGTGTGGCAATGGCAGCAACTGCAATATAAATAACAAAAAAAAAAACATAACAAAATAAAGCACTTATTGTTATATTTTATATAAAAGCACTTTAAATTTAATATAATAGAACTTTTGTTTGTCATTCAGTGTGTACAATAAAAAATAATTATGACTGTTTAAAAGTATATGTGTGTGTGTGTATGCTGTCAAATCAATTAATCGCATCTAACATAAAAGTTTGTGTTTATATAATATATGTGTGTGTATTATATATACATATCTGTGTGTGTACATGTCTGGGTATACACACACACACACACATATATATATATATAAATGTGTATACAGTATATTAACACAAAAAAAATATATACATACATACACATATGTTATGTAAACAAACGTATGTTAGATGTTATATTTGACCACGGTATCTATCTATATACATATTTGTGTGTCTGTGTGTTTGTTTTATTATTTAGTAGTACATCATTTATGTCTAAAGTTAAAGTATTTTAGCTTTTTTCACTTTAAAGGTACCCCACTTACATTTGTCAATAAAAAAATAATTTAGTTAAAAACTTTAAAAGTATATACATTTTTTTTTATTATTAACTCTAGTTGAATTCCACAAATCACAACGTGAATAGCTCTTCTGTTTTTAGGTACGAGGTGCAGAAACACAAATCTCACTTGGATCAATGTCATTGGCCACCACATGGGAAGCTCCACTGAGTCTGGCTGCAATGGCTGATGCTCCACAACCACAGCCGAGATCCAGCACCTTCCTGTCTCTACACACCTCGGGGTTATTCAAGAGATACCTGACAACACAGTTCACAGCAGCATCATCAATAAAAAAACGACAAAAGAATGCAGGTAGACTATTATGACTAATAAACGTTACCTAGCCAGCGCTTGTCCACCTGGCCAATATATTGCCCAGTACGGGTCAGGGAAAGGCCACAATTCAGGTTTCTCCGTCCAAAACCGGCAGGTGGGTGTGAACAGCCTTAAAGAAATCTCTGGGGTTAAACTTTGGCTGCTTACTACTTCTGTGTTGTCTATAATGAAGTTCTTTATATCGTCCTCCGATCTGACGTTGCTTACGTATAGACGCATTAAACCTCTTTTAAATGCAGTGTCCTTACCGCGGAACCACATGATTATTCCTCTGTACATGTCGTCAATGCTAAAACTTGTCAAATATCCTTGAAATGTTTACATTTCTTCCATCCACATGTCTGTCACGCATGCGCAGACGCGCTTGACACTTGTATGACGTCACTGAGCGGATCCCGCCAATTAGAGCGCTGCTTAAAAAAATTGCTTGTGTTTTACGCAAAACTTCTAAATAACTATTTATTTTTTTTAATAAAGATATATTAGAAGTTTTTGCGTAATATAAAAACACATATACACATTCTACAAATGTTCAGTTGTTCAAGTCATTACAACAATGACTTTAAGTTATCTTTTGGGTGCCCGCAGCCAAATATGATGTGCGTTTAATTCAATTAAGCGCCAAATTCGTCCATATATGGCCGAGGGACATTGGTGAAAAAATTGACAGAAAAATGGTCTACCATTTTGGTGGGGTGGGGTGTGTGCCACAGATACTAGCCCACGTGATTTTTCATGATTAAACTGATGTAAGACAATTTATGTTGGAAATGCCAGCTGGAAACACCTCTACTCAGTATTTGGGAATGTAGTCAAGTTATGGTAGTTTTTATTTAGTTGCTTGTATTTCTCCAAAATATCTTTAACTCCCAAACTGTCTATGTTTCAAAACGTGTTTTTTCTGGTGTTATGGAATGTATTGTATGTATGGTAGGTATTGTAATATGGCTGCACATTGGTGGTGGTTGAGGAGATTCTCCCCTCTGTGAAGCGCTTTGAGTGTCCAAAAAGGCACTATATAAATGTAATGAATTATTATTATGTATCAAAATGGCATATAGGATTATTTTGAGACAATGAAAGCCCCAGAATTTAAAGAGTTGGCCAGTGCAATGGTATAAATAGCATCTTATGAATTTATGCTTAACCGATATTTGCTGTCTCCTTGGGTAGAATTCTGACGCATTACAGTAAGGTCTCAAAATTAATAGAACCACCTTGTGTTTTGTCTTGTACTGTGTTTAATTTCATAGTCGAAATGTGCCTGCAGGTTGTACCGTATTTTGTTGTACTGTTGTCACCTATCAACCTCCCAAAAGAAGCAATAAAAAAAAACTTCTATTCAAAAAACAAAAATGTAAATGCTTGCCAGCCCTACAATATAAATAGATTTTTGATTGTTGATTATGTCTCTTAAATAGATATTTCATCGTTGATGACTGGTTACAGAGTTTTGACAGGTACATGCCATGGTAAATGTTCATCATACCTTGCAGAAATAGTCTCATGAGCTCACCAAATGATTATTCACTGAAGAGGTGGGTTGGACACACGCTCTCTGTGTCCTGTATATGACAGTCTCCATAGATACCTGCTGTGAGTGTGCATGCATATTGAAAAAACAAGGAGGAAAAACAACCAAGGATACAAATAGGTATGTTATTCTGTTCTGATGATTATGTAATTGTAAATTAGTAATAAACAACATTATTGGCACGTTAATCTCAATTAATAGCAGGCTACTATGAATATTTCCTCTTAATGAATGAGTAAACACTACATAACCCTTTCTGCAACAGAGGCTGCTCGACTGTCAAGTTACCAAGCCTGAATGAAGATTATAGCAACAGAAAAAACATACAACATTGTTTCCGTGTTGTTGTGCCACTCTGACGTGCTCCGTTCAAACTCTCTGGTTCGTGTGAAATTGTTTTGTATAAGGGCAGGACAATCTGCAGTTGAGTACACAGTATCTCAACTCACTTTCCAGAGCTCTCGTGAATATGGCTAATTGGAGAGGAGAAAGACGAAGCCTTTCACCTTCAGATTTCTGGAATGACCAGGAATGGGACACTGAACTGGGCCGTAGATCTTTCCGACACACTCTTAGGTCTCTAAGCCCCCTCGCTCTCTCGGATCTTGACTTTTGGGATAGTAGATCTCTTTTTAAAGCTCGGGTATGTACAAACTGAAGCTGTGGAGTATGAATTTTTTTTTCTTCTTCTCATATTCTTCTTTTATATGATTTTAACAAACATTTCCCTTTCTTTAGAAATCTCCAGCATGGAGCTGTATGGGCTTACCTGGATTGACTCTCCGCCCAAAAATCAGCACCAGGTTAGTGCTTCAAAGTCAGCTATTTGGTTATTCGACTGTATTTACTGTAAATGAACTGAAACACAGTAATAGTAGGCCTGAGGTAATTTTATTGAACTGTTTGGCTTGTTTTTAGAATTAGTGTTTTGTATAATTAGATTAAAAGATAATAAACAGGTAAGATTTTGAAATGTTTTTTTCTTAAATCAACATTTCATGTCTCCGTCCTTATTTATGTGGTGAAAAGCTGTCTATTAAGTGTATATATGACTGTAAAGTTGGCATGCAATGGGCATTTCTCACATTCCTGCTGTGCATTTGGAGTTGGACTACACCTCCAGTACACAAGGGGGCGATAGTCACCTACAAATGGCTGTCATTCAAAAAAATGGCTTGAAATGAAGGTCCTTTCTTTCCTATTGTGATGTATATCGCTTGTATAGTGAAACAGCTTCTAGAACATGAAAGATTGTAGGTCAGGACTTGATTTTGTTCATTGAGAATTGATTGGATAGTTGTGGTTTACTATTGGTGGATCTCATGTGAGTGACAGGTTGTCCCGCCCTCACACCAGTAAACACATCATCAGAGAAGAGATGACGGGAGGGAAAGTTATTTTGATTGCAGAATTATAAAGGCAGGTGATTTTAAAAAAAAAGTAGCTGCTTGCTAGAAACTGTTTTTCTTTGTGGACGCTTTGCGTTTAATGAGCTAATAAAATATTTAAACTTAAATCAATATTTTGTGTCTAATTATTTACTTATGTGGCAAGTAGCCGTACATCGAGCCGGTTGTTATCTCAAAAATAAAATTATATGGCTGAATGTAGATTTTCCCTTACTTTTGTCGCATACTTCTCTCTTTATCAGCACTCTTGGCAGAGAGAAGGGCTCTTTGGGCATGACGAGATGGTCATCTGCATCTCGCTTGGCTCCAGAAGGAGCTCCACAATCTCACTCTTCTTCTGAGGACTTTGAGCTCAGAGCTGGCCTGGAGGAAAGCAGCATGAGGAGGGCAGAGCTCATCCAGAGGCTCAGAGAGGCCAAAGGTCACTTGGACACTCAGACTGACCTTTTGAAAACCAAAGGGTCTCAGCTTCAACAAAACCAGCACATCTCAAACAACCTGGAATTGAAGCACAAGGTATGGATCTTACCTCCTCATCAACTGAAGTTGTTTGAAATCAACTACTGACTTTTTTTTTTTTACAATTTTGTTTTGTTTGATATTTGTTTGATTGGCTGAAAAAAGGAAAGATATAGTCTGCTGAAGGAACACTCATACCTGTTGATTTTCCTGCCTCGCAGCAACTGTCTGAAGCAGTGGGTGTTCTTGAACAAGACAAGGAAGCTGCAGAACTGAGCCGCTTCGAGGAGAGCCGCCGTCGAGGGGAATTACACGACAAGTGAGTTATACAGTCTTTGCAACTTGAGTGGAATCCATACATGATGTAACATTACACTAAACTAACATTAAACATGATGCATTACTAATGAGCACTACAAAGTATTTCATTTATGAACACAAAACTACCATTCAAAAGGTTGGGGTTGGTACGTTTTTTTTAACGTTCTCTTATGCTCACCAAAGCTGCATTTATTTGATCAAAAATACAATAAATATAGTATTATAATTTATCTGTTTTCTGTCTTCTTAATATATTTGAAAATGTAATTTATTCCTGTGACGCAAAGCTGAAATTTCAGCATCATTACTGCAGTCTTCAGTGTCACATGATCCTTCAGAAATCAGTCTAATATTGCAAATTTTACTTATAGGGTACTTCAAAAGTATAGCATTTATTTAAAATAGAAACCTTTTGTATTGATATGTTGATTCACTCTATGTAAACTAAGAGTTGTGCAGCTTGAGTTGGACATTTTGAAGATGAGATCGAACCTAGAGAGAAGGACTCCACCAACATCCCCAAACCCACCCCAAACACTGCCTGCTACAAAAGACCAAGTCCTCAGAGAGGTAGAGCTCATTATGTGTGACACAAAAAACCCTAACATTTTACCGCATCACAATAACAATTTCATGAGAAAATGTCATCTCAATCAACTAAGGTATTGTATGCTGCTGCTTCCTTCAGGGACAGAGGAAGGTGGACAATGAGATAAAGAAGCTCAGAGAAGCTCTAAGAAAGGCAGAGGAGAAAACAGGCGACCTAAAATACGAGAACGACAGTGCATTGAGAAGACTCTGTTCCTCTGAAGAGGTTAAACATTTATTCAAAGTATGTTAAAGGAATAGTTCACCCAAAAATGAAAACTCTGTCGTCATTTACTCATCCTCATGTCGTTCCAAACTTGTATGACTTTCTCGTGGAACACTGATCCAATGAGGAGATTTTAGAATTCATAATAAAGAAGCATAACATAAACAGTTAAAATCCCTTATAATATTTCTAAGTAAAATCTAATGCCTGGTTCGAATTACACGATTTTAGCCCGATTTTGGCACGATCCGTTTGACGTAGGGTGTGTCGTGGGGATTCGTAAACGACAAAGGGCGTCGGGACGCAAGATTCGATCGTATTATCTCGTATAGTGTGTCATAGTGGGCGACAACCTACGTCGATAGCATGTTTAATTTTTTTAACGGTCGTCCACGACGGTTCCGTAATGGTAACATGTAGCTGGTTGACCATGCACAAGCTTTTCCGTATACAACTTTCAAACAAGACAAAACGAAAGAGTGACGATGGTGCTAACGTTAAAACTAAAAATATATGAGAAAACAATACTTTACCTCAAGTTCTCTGTGGAGGATTGACAGCCCATACTCCTCTTCGAGGGTTCTCAAGTGTCACGCAATGGCCGTGAGACACAGGCAATTCAACCAATTCACACACTCACACGCCACGGTATTTCTCACGCTGAAAAGGCCGAGCAAGCCAGTAAACTCACTCGCTACGAGTTTCGCCTTCTCGATGACATCACGCGCGCCGTTAAAGACGGCATGTGATTACTGGTCAGGAAGTAACGTGTAGTCTGACATGTCTTGTCCACGATACGACAAGATTTTAGGAGCCAAAATCGCGTAATCTGACACAGTGAGGTAACAGGGAAGAAAAATAATAATAATAATAAATCATGTAATCTGAACCAGGCATTTAAGTCACACTCTAAGTATAATATTATTGCCTAAAGAAAAGAAAAGTTGTCAAGAGCTCTCTTTCTGTAAGATCGGTCGCAAAAAGAGCTAAAAGTGTAAAGACTGACCTATCCTGAAATCTCTCTCTCTTATGCAGTTAACTTAGCGGAACAAAGCCTAGTTGCTCTTTTCATTGCATATTAAAGCAGCCCCTTCGGGCGGACACAGCTTCAAGATAATGAAATAGTGCTTTGAAATAGTGTATAAATAATACTAAAACTGATCCAAAATAACTTTTTATGACAAAAAACGACAGAAGAACGAAAGTCATTCTGGTGTAATCGATGACATATGGTGAACTGTTCCTTTAAAATTTGGTCATTGTGATTAAAATGAACATAAACGCACAAAAATGTTATCAAGATTAGATCTAAAAAGTATGTGAACATTCACCTAGGGTAAGCAAGAGGCAATAAAGCAAGCAGAAGAGTTGGAACAAAGACTGAGCATCTCCGTCCAGACCCAGGCAGAGCTAGAGGACCAGCTGAACGAGTCCCGCAGTCGCCTGGGGCAAATGGAGCTGGTACAAGCAAAAAAAGCTGTGCTACACTCGCTAATTTTTCATTATGACATGACCCAAAACTGCCAGATTAACCATTATCTCTCTTCCTCAGGAAAAAGACCTGTTTTCCACTAAGACACAGAGACTAGAAGACAATCTGAATGACTTTAAGGTCAAACTATCTGGAGCTTTAATGGACAAAGAACGTCTTGTCCAGGTCTGATATCACATTTCACATTAACTTACATTACCATTGATTCCCCCGGCTGTACTTGACCATTTCTGGGCCGTAACCCACCAGTTGAGTACCGCTGATTTAAATTAGTAAGTTAAATATGATGACCCTTCTGTGTATGATTGTCTGTAAAGGAGAAAGCAGAGCTTCATCAGAGGATTCAGACTCTGGATCTGCAGTTGCAGAGGGAACAGAAGAGCAAACAGGGCATCAATGAGCAAGTGTGTGAACTCCATTCAGAGATATCTCAAGCTAAGAGCCAGGCCAACAAACAGAAGATAGAAACCATGCTGATGAAGGAGGAGTTGCTTTCCATTAAAGAGGTCACCATTTACACAAAACTATAAAGCAGCACAACTGTTTTCAACATTAATATTATTAAGAAAAGTTTCTTGAGCAGCAAATCAGCATATTAGAATAATTAGTTATAAAGTTATCAATATATATAGATAAATATACATATAATTATTTCATCAGGTAAAAAACATTCAGATCATTCAAAATAATAACATGAGAAGATAATAGCATGCATTAATATTATATGACACAATAATTATTTAAGCCATTTCAACCTTTTCTTAATGCTTTCAATACATTCAGTTGAATGAAAAGCTGTCGTCGGATCTAAACAAAGCTACCATGAGGCTGCAGGTGACCCTTAACCAGCTACACGAGCTGGAGGCACAGAAACTGATCCAGACCAATCAGATCGCGGCACTGGAGACTGAGCGCTTGCAGCTGATTGGAGAGAAGGAGGAACTGAGGAAAACATTTAATGATGGACTTCACGAGAAAATTAGAGAACTAGGAGAGAGATACCAACACAGGTATGATAGCACTGTCCATTATCAAAGTATTGTTTGAAAATGAATATTAATATTGATTGTTCAGATTTTTGTTTTAATGTCTCTTGTCCTTATTATTCATTTCATATATCAAGGGAACTGCAAGGCAATGTGGAGCAAGAAAATCATACTCTGCAATTAAAATGTCGAGACTTAGAAAAAAAAGTCCAAATCTTGGAGGCTGAGTATAAGCAAAAAGAGGAGGAGCATCAGTGTATGAGGGCGGAGTTTGAGCGGGAGAAGGAGGAGTTAAGGAAAGTGGCCGCTCACTGGAACGAGAGATGGCTGGATGTGGCAATGACGTTGTGTTCGACACAGGAAGAACTTGATGAGCTCAGGAGTCAACAGCATGTGAATAACAAAGTAACTTTTGTTTTTAATATTTGGTCCCCTTTTTTTGGTCTGATTTGACCATTTGGGCAAGTATACTGTGCCCAAGTGAAAAATAAATATACTAAAATGTATTTAAAATACATTTAGTTTATGCTAACTATACTACAAATACAATTACATATAACCCTGCAGTTGTACTTTTAGTACTAAATTGGTATACTTTAAGTCTGCTAAATTGTAACACATTTTGTACTTAATGTACTTTAGTTATCCAGAAATAGTGCTGAGGTCCAAGTAAAGTTCTGTATATTTGACTGTACTAAAGTACTATTGCAATTATAGGTACACTTAAATTTTCTTGTATTTAAAGACTGATATTAAACAGAGATCATACTATCCTTACTTAAAGTGATATTAAAACACATTTTCGACTTAATATAAAGAAATGTTAATTGTGCAATAAAGAAGAACTTCAAATCAAGGTCAGTAAGTATGTTAATGGATTTGTAGTATACTTATATTTATATGTTGTCTTTTAGCGAGAGGCTGATGTTTTGGAAGTGCCACTAGATGACTGCAGGCAACAGATAGAGCCTGAGATGGACAGAAGCCATGGGCACCAGAGACTCATGGGTAGCTCTGTATGTCCTTTGTTCTTCTTTTTTCCACCCATCCTGATCTCATGATCTAAATTTCCCACATCTTTAAAGGTTTTAAATATATGTAGTATGTAAAGAGCTATTTAGTGAGACCAAATAAAGTGTTCTTATTTTTTTTCACGTTCATGTCTTCCCAAGGTGTCTCTTGAAGACATGGAAGGAGAGTTAGAGCAGGAGCTGCTGAGGGTGAGGAACATGCTGAAGATCAGAGACACTGAGCTGGAGGAACAGCTACAGGAGCTGAAGTCTGCTCGCGCTCAGGTGGGGCCGGCAAACCTCAAGGAAATCTGTGTAATCTCGGTTGGTTTAATGCGAGGATGGAGATATGATTTTTCATACTGTGCAGGTGTCACGACAGAGCGGTGAAGTCCAGAGGCTGGAGCAGCTACTGGCAGAGAGAGATCAAGAAATGAAAAAGAAGTGTGTATTTTACTAATAATTCTTTCCCATACAGATAAAGTAAACAAACACACACAGTATATATATATATATATATATATACTGTGTGTATATATATATATATATATATATATATATATATATACTGTGTGTGTTTGTTTACTTTATCTGTACTTTATATATATATATATATGAAGAGTTCAGATGCAAAAGCCTCTAAATGCCATTTGAAATTTTCATCTTTAATGATGATTTTTATCAAACTTGTATATTTAAGTTCAGTAATTTCACTTAAATAACAATTAATAGGTAATTATCATTGCCATTTAAGTGAAATTACTGAACTTAAATATACAAGTTTGATCAAAATCATCATTAAAGAAGAAAATTTCAAATGGCATTTAGAGGCTTTTGCATCTGAAATCTTCATATATATATATATATATATATATGGTACACTTGGTATATATATATAAATGGCTTAATGAAAGAATTTTTTTTAATTGACTATATTTCATTTAAACCTTCTAAGACCAAAATCAATATGTACTTCAAGGTACAAGACAATACATTTCTTAACATGTATTTAATTTGTTAAATGTATCTTAAAATATCTATATATTTATTTTAGATTGACAATGTATAAAAAATGGCACAAATATATAGGTACAGATTAGTGCTGTCAATCGATTAAAATTATATATAGATATGCACACAAAAACTTTTGTCACAATTAATCGATTTGACAGCACTAGAGCAAATAAAAATGTATATTTTAAAATATTTATTAGCAATTTTCTTTCATATTGACTACCAAAAAAATGAATGATTATGGCATATGAAAATGAATAATGCATGTGATTGTTTAAAGGAGTCACAGAAGTTCATCAGGACAAAAGACCCCATTTATTTCCAGTGGGGAGTTTAACGGTCATGTAATGTGACCATGCAGTGCTATTAAAAACAAGTAAAACTGGAAGCAGTTGCTTATTGTTCCTTTAATGTTTCATGTCATCAACGCTTTTTCATTCTACCACAGAGATCAAGATCTAAAGAACCTGGAGATACAGCTGATAACAGAGAAAGAAGAGGCTCAGATCAAGATATCCGCCCTGGAGCAGGAGGTACAACGACAACCATGACTTTAAAAGTTTCTCACAGCAGAACAGATTAATCTAATCACGTTTCATTATGCCGCATCATTGTGCCTCTTACCTCGGGCAGATTTTTGGACATAAAGGGCTTCAGTCGAGAGAGGGAGTGGTCAGTGGATCCAGTCCTGAGTCACTGAAGGCTTTGCTAGAAGGTATCTCCACATGCTATGATTGAGTAAAGCACAAAATTTGTTCAAAAGTACAAATTTGTTGAAATTACGTAAACACAAAAGCTCCTAGTTATACAAGCTCGATTTCACACGTTGTTGTTTTCCGAAATGTGTCAGATTCAAAAACACAACAGGGCACATTAGCATTAGCACATCTAATATAAAAGCGGTGAAACAGTTTGAAATTAAAACAAGTTATGGCTTGCTACCTAAATACTAACTCATACCGTTTAAAACGGGGTTTTCTTTGGCCGTTGAAATCTACATTCCTGCAAAGTTTTGCTCCAACCATAATCAAACACACATGAACAAGCTAATCAACGTCTTCAGGAGTACTAGAAAGTTGCAGGCGAGTTTGATCAAGGTTGAAGCTTAACTGTGAAAACGTGGATTTTGAGGGCCAGAGTTGTTGCGTTTAACTGCACTTTTAGACATAAACTCACAAACTTCTAATCCCCATTGCCATTTTGAAGTGCATTTCAAGTTGGCAAGGGAAGTTTATTTAAACTCAACCACTCAATTTTGACCGAGGGAGCTAGTCTACTCAACATGTACACTTCAGGCAGGTTAAAAGCATAGCCATTTGTTGGTGACTCTATCGCCCCCTTGTGTACTGGAGGTGTGTTCCCACCAAAACAACTCAAGGATGCACATTTTGTACAATAGGAATGTGTTACCTCAGAATTCATGCTCCTGTCCTAAAACTTTGCTTGTGTTTATTCTGTGGTCCCAGAAAGCAAGAGGCGAGGTAAAACGCTTGAGCAGGACAGAGACCAAGCCTTCCAAAGTCTCAGCCTTGTACCTTATCAGGTAATGACTGCCGTTTGTTTGCACAAGTGTGCTAGTGTTTATTCATTGATACTTAGCTTCTTTACATTTGAATTTCTGTCCATAGGGCAAAGCAGAGCAAGAATCTCCACCAGAGAACAAAAACCAGAAACCTGTTAGTTCAGACCTTGTAGATCCTAACCAACAGAGGAGGCTAGTTACTGAACAGGTGCTAAACACTGTGTAAAGTAATACTACTTAACACTTCATCATACTTACTATTATAACTTCCTGTCTGTGCTTATTTACTTTTCTTTCTGTGCTACAGCTGAAAAGTCTGTTCAGGGAGAGAGAGCAACATGGAGAAAGGTCAGTAAACAATGAACACACTGTCAGTTGTCAATCAGTTTGATTCATTATCTCCCCCCTGAAGGCGGGTTTATTTCCACTCCTTCCTATATAAAAATGAGACAGTGGGGAAATTCCAGACTCAGAGGCCCCAGTACTCTCCCCTCCCCCTTCTCCTGTTGCCAACTGAAAAACTGTGGCAAAATCAGCAAGTGAGCCGCTTAAATGGATGGACATTGAATGGGAGACGCAGTTAAGGTCCCACTACTTTTATCGAATTGAAGGAAATACCACAAGATTTTAAAATCAAAAAGGAAAGTAAAACACTTCCTGAAGTTTTAAGGAGTTAACTGGTGTTTGTTTTTTCTTGCTTAGTTTTCTTTGTTTGTAAATCAAATCCTTTATTCTAATTGACAGCATAAATGTTCCCAACTTTAACTCAATTTATCTGCGTGAATCCTGGCTCAGGGAAAGGAGTGGGGGTGGGAATGCTGGAATTTTCCCAGTGTCATAATTCACGTTTGACAGGAGAGGACATAAAACCCAACTGGAGCGGAGGACATAAATCAAATTTTGTTGACGTTTGACAGAAAATGTTTACGTATGTCTTGTGTACTATTAAGATCTCCAGTGCTCCCAAGAAGTCCTAGCTTGGTTGAAAGCGGGGTCCAAAATGCTACATGTATTAAGGTAAGCACATCGTTTTTGTGGCCACTTTTTAATACTGAAATTAATAACAGCTGTGTGTGACACATTTAGAACTGGAACGCTATTGACACAAACCATCAGGGAAGAAAAACACAGAAACTGGAGCAAGAACTCCAGCAGGGGGCAGCAAAGGGGTCTTCATCCCAGATTTTAGTCTCTCAGGGGGGATCTGAGAGAGGGGAGGAGCAGAAACAGTCAACCAACCAGAAGCACCTCAGCAAGACAGCTCAGGTATGTTATGATAAAGCTTATTGTTGAGAACCTAAGAACTCAACCTTGCCCGTCCTATTGCATATATACTTTAGATCTGTTCTAATTCTAGTGTAGTTGAAGACTAATTCATAATCATCCGACTGGAATCTGTGATATCTTAGAGAGGGACGTTTTACAAACAAAACAACTCCATTTTAGAGCACATCAGGCTAAAGACTCTAATTGAAGTGACCTGATCTAACATTTTGTCTTAATCAAAGAGCATGCTGGGATGGAGGGGCACATAAGCAGCTTTTAGGGTTGCAGGAGGGCGTCTGCAGAGGATGTGGTCAGAAGTAGCGATAAAACGCAACAGAAACCCTGTACTGAATGAGATTTCTAATGTTGTATAGTTAATTTATCCTTGCAATACTTAGAAAATAACTACAATGGGATAAAGAGCTTTTATGAAAATAGATGGTGAATTAAAAAAACATTAAAATATCCTACACTTACTTTCCCCTGGCAGATGTCAGCTGTGAGAGATAAAAAGGAAAATTTAAAAGAGAGAAATGAAAATCTCCTTGAAGGTGAAGAAAGTGACAAAAGTCCAATCATATATAGAAATTGGGGCCAAATTTTGGAAATTTGTGTGGGGTTGTTAATTATTTACATTTAAATGTTATCCATATATCAATCATTTAATGTGGTGTAATTGTGTTCCTTTCTGTCTTGCTGGTCCAGCTAAAGTAACATCTCCTTATCCAAACTTTCCCCTGGGCTGCAAGGATGGAACATTCCTAGCAAGGCAGGTTGAGGTTTGTGACTCGGATACAGAATAATCCATTTGAGGAGAAGGAAAGGGGAGCAAACTGCTGGAGTGATAATACATTGCAAAGATTACTGCACTGACAACTTTATCTAAATGTGGTTTGGAGTTGTTGTGAGGTACATTTAAAATTTGATGCAAAAAAACAATGATTTCACTTTTTTCAATACTCATTTTTATTGTTTTAAATGGTAGTTGTAGGCTGTTTTCTAAAGACATTGTTCAGAGATATTAGATTTCACTGATATATGAATCTATACAACAGTAACATAATAAAAATATAATTTAGTCCTAAATATGATTTAAAGATATTCATTTCTAAAACAATAATAAAAAGTCTTCCAACATAGGGTAAAGGTCATTAATGTCTGTCTGTCTGTCCATGGTTGGGTCAGACTTGAGGTCATCATGTCAGCTTTTCATTTTTGCACTTATGGTTGAATATAACATGATCCAGTATGATTCGTGCTGCACATCAAAACCTGTGTTAATGTGTAGTCATAGAACATGTGACGTGCCTTGAGATTACATTGTGTTGTCTATGGGGATAAATGCTATACAAGTGACCTCATGGTCATGAACTCCCATTGCTGAGGTTTGAGCAGATCTGTAATAAAAAGGATCGGACTGTCGTCTGAAGGATTGAAAAGAGAGGGGGGGATTAAACTACAATGTCATTAAAATAGGCTGATCTCCTGTGGATCTTGAATCCTGTAAGACAAGCATTTAATCCTGAACATTAAAAGCAAATATTTAGGCTTAGTTTATGATGGACAAATCCTTTAGCTTTTACATAACAGCAAGCTGGACTTGCTGTATGCATATCATGACAAACATGTTCATTTATCTCATAGGAGGGATTTGTGGTGCAATATGCTTTCATGTATTCCCAGGCCATTAAACAATTTTCCGGGAAGTATTTGATATTGTTTTTAGACAGTATGTTACCTCTTGACATTTTAAGCTTTTTATAATTTTTAATAGTTGGAAGTTGTGCGTTTTGTGAGAAGATTACGTATGACTAAATTGTTTGCTGTATGAAGTCCTTACACATTTTTTAATAACAACAACAACAACGTAACTTCAAAATTGTTAGCCTTTCAGTTAACCTTTCTCCATCCATCTTGTCTGATGGTGAAATCTCCAGTCACACAATAAATGTATGCCAGCTGTTCCATCACAAAGTAATGACGCATATGCAACTTGCTCACCTCACATTTTTTGGCCCCACCCAAACACAAAACTGCTTATAAATGGCCTTGTCCCAAATGCCACCCTCATCTCTACACCAAGTCCACACTTAGGTGATTCTGCTAAGACTGCCAAGTAGAAGTCTGCTGTAAAGTCTGCACCAGTATGGTCTTGGCGAAATGGTACTGACTTTCCTGTCTGCCATTATTGGCCAAATTGATTAATTCAGGTGTGTCTGATTATTGTTGCCATGACTACTGAGGTCAGGTACACCTGAATTAATCAATTTGGCCAATAATGGCAGACAGGAAACAAGGAGCTGGCTGAAGTTCAGGAAGTAGTGCAGCTGGGCATAAAGCCCATTGGAAGACTTTCCAATTCCAATTTAACCAACCTGACTGTAATTTGCAAGTAGTTCTTAACACCTTGATTAGCTTGTTCAGGTGTATTTGATTAGGGATTGAGCTAAACTCATCAGGACACTGGCCCCCTAATGTTGGAGTTGAAGAAAATGGTGGGGTTCACTGTATGGAATTCAGTGTTGTCTACATCCGTGGTTTCTTCTCGTTTCTTATTTGTCCATCCTCACATCTTAGCTTCACCCCCTTAGGATGCGAGGGAAGGATACACCTGTTTATCCTCACTCATGACTCCTCAGGAAGCTTCCTCACTCCTTGTTCCTCACGGTGCAATTTGAGAATGTCCTTCTAGATGGCTGAGTCCGATTGATATCCTGGTCACAGGCTCGAGGAGCGAGGAAAGGAGGAAGCATCAATTTGAGTATTGAGAAGCACCCAGAGTTTCTGAACTCCAGTCCTGGGAACCAACCTAACCGAATGTTTTAGAAGTCTCACTAATTAAAACACCTGATTTAGCGCATCAGTCTTTTGACTAGACTAGAGAGACATCTAAAACATTCTGGGAGGTGGGTCTTGGGGGGAGAAAAACTGGTCGACATGATCTATAAAATTAACTAATATTGGGGCGAGGGTACCATTTGGGAGAGAATGAGAACAGTGTATTGTAGTTTCACCAAGAGTCTGCTTGGTAAGATTGTCTGTTTACAGGATCAGGACTTTAAGCTAATGGACTGGAATTGGAACAAGCTGACTGTAGCAGACCTTGTGACCTCTCTGAATCTTGAGATGTAATTTTCTGAGGGACATCAATGTTCATATCTTGAGCATGCTGAATACATTTTTGTAAGAAAAGTATTTAAGAGTAGTCTTGTAACAAGAGCTATGAAGTGACCTTGGTCTTGTCCACAACTTGCCTTAGTTCTCTAACGCAGGTGACAGGCTTGTCTGGTGTCCAGTCTAGACTACTGCAGCAAACTTCCAGCTCCTCAAATAGGGATGTCTTTGGATTATTCTGAGTGAAGATGGTCAGTCTGAGTATGCAACTCTTAAGCCCTTCCAAAGATCCGACATTGACTGCCAAGTTCTGTTTATAGAGTCCAGAGCTAAGGTTGTAATCTTGGGCAGATATAACCAGAGGTCCAGGGCAAAGTGGAGGAAGCCTGACCTGGACAGTCACTTCTTCTAGGTGATGGACCACACCAGTTATACCAACTAAGGAGAGCGTGAGGGTGTTCTGTGTTGAAGAGAAGGTCAGGGTGAAGTGTAAGAAGGGATTTGAGGTCTTGCTGCAAGAATTTGAACCATAGTTAGGTAATAAAGTTTCTTCCTGTAGTAGGCCTTGAGTTTGAAGTTGAGAGAGGGTGCAAGGTGATTGCAGGTTAGGAACAGTGAGCCTTCTGTGTTCACTGATTGAGTAACTATCCCCAGCCACAGTGCAGTGGCGTTCCAGAACCTTCCGAGTCTTCGCAAGGAGACCAAGTCTTGGTAAAGTGGGGAGAGAGGAGCGGCCACTGACCATGGGCTTGTATGGAGAAGAGGAGACAGCTGGAGAACTGAGTCGTCTCATTTGGAAGCATGACGTCTGCTTGTTAACCTCAGAGAAAGCAGTGAACTCTTCATCTGATGGTGTAGAGCTCTCAAAAGCAGACGGGTAGTCTAGAACCTCTCCTTCCAGCTGCTCATACTGCAATTTGGTAAATGTGGTTCCAGATAAAGAGGAGGAACTTAATGCCACAGTCACATGATCCACAGAATCAGGGGGAGGTGGGGTTCTCACAGTCTTTTTGTCTTCATGTGGTTTGTGTCTGGTTTTTAACCAACAAATTAGGCAGCCCAGTATAAGGGATAAACAAAGGACCACCAAGCCCACACCCAACAGAATCTGTAGGTGGACTGAAGAGACAGAGGCTGGTTAGAACAGCATTTTAATCCGAAACTATCATTCTAAATGACAGAACAACTGTTAAGTCGTAATCCGCAAACAAAGGAAACAATTTAATCCGCATAAAGTCAGATTCAGTAAAAGAATGGTAACAAACCACACACGCATGAACTGCAGTACTTCAATTTGAAATCTAAGTAATCTAAATAAGGTTTGGTCTCTCAGACCAAATGGACAACTACTTATTAACAACTTTACTGGCAAACGCACCCAAGTGTTATATAGTTTGCTTAGAGGTTAGGTCTACCATACCTTCAAGTTGCTTCGTGAAAAGCACCTGCACCAGCAGCCAGAGAAACAAGAGAACGATGATTGCCTCGATCATTCCCTTACAGCCAAACATTAGCACAGACTGCCACACAGGTTCCCCAGAGTTCTCCTCCTCAATAGGCATGATGACCAAGGAACGCAACAGCTTCTCACCGCATCTTCACCTTCTGGAGTAACATTATGTCTCTTCACAGGGCCGACTTCAGAACTGTGAACTCCACTCCATCTCTAAAGTTGAACAACTCTGGTTTCTGGTGTCAGTACCGAATTTTGTCGCGTCTTTTGTCAAGATGCTTTAAGATGAACCTTAAACCTGTTTCCCAATTTAAAGCGACAAGATCAGGTGTATAATACGATCCATCAAGTTGTCCGAAACAAAATTTTATATGATTACATTCCAAATTGTCATTCAATCTAAATAAAATCCAATTGATTCTGCTTGTGGTCTTTCCTCTCCTACATCTGTCTTTTAGTTATATCCAGGGCAGTAATCCTCTCCACTGACTCCCGTGGTGAGAGACTAAGATGAGTTTAGAGGGGTGGTCCAGCTCAGGACAGGGGCGGGACACACCAGAGATGGCATAGACGCTTTACTAGTGACGGGTCAAGGACAACCACGTCGTGTCCCACACTGTGCCTATTAAAAAAAAGGCATCAACTGGACAATCCCATCCTACCAACCCCCACAAAACAGCATCTGTCACATCCACAGCGAGTTCTGCACATAATGAAAATGTCACAGTTAATATTACTTGCTGTTTTAAGCAGATAATTTCATTATTACTTGCACCTTCCATTTGTCAATCTCATCAGATATTGATGAGGATTACAAAGGCAGATCTATAAAATCAGACTTGATTTCAAAAGCATAATACTGATGTAGTGCCTCTTGGTGTCTTGTGACATGAACTGCATCTTTCATTTCAATGTTCACAACCACGCATTGCGATACATTTATTTAATAAAGAAAAATAAGCCTTTAAGGACCATTATTTGCATTTTTACATTATTTTCATGTCTTCTGTCAAGAGTAATTTGATTGACTTTTTTCTTTACTTTTGAATTAATTGCTTTTTATAGACTGTATGACAAAATAAATGAGGTCAATGCAATGTTTACATTTAAACATGCACAAATAAAAACTAATTAATACTTGACCATGATGTATGACTTCAATTAAAAGAGTAATAATATCCTACACAAAGAATAAGAAAAAACCCACCACAAAAAACTTGCATCAGATCAGACTTTAATTTCACTGTGTAAAGTTGCATGTGTCTATACATCGAGGTCATCAAAGAGGATAACAAACACATGGTCTTTGGTTTTCAGCTATGTAATTATCTGAAGAATATAGCAATTGAACAGAAGAGACTAAAAGTGTCTGTATCCCAGCAGGTCCCAGGGTCAAGCAAATGCAGGATTATAAACGACTAAAAAGCTATTAGTTAATGAGGCTAAATTAGCATGGGTACATGAACATAACCAGCCAACAAGCCTCAATTGCCACTGGAAGTTTATTGAAAGGACTGGAAGACAGTTTATGCAATAATAATCAATACTTCATGGACATGAGATCCAACTCTTCAAGCAATACTCTCATCTCACACTCCCGTATTAACTTTCTGCCTTCACCATCTTTACATTTCTGAGGTATTTTGCTAATTCTTTACCTGAGATGTTTTTGTTTTTTTTGCATTAAAATCAGCAGAACTTTGAGGTAATTCAGTGATGAACTGCAGGCAGTTGAACTACATCCGAGGTAAATCCTGACTGAGGTAGCTATTTCAGTCCCACACTGACCAAGATATATCTAGAGTCATTCTAGTGTAGGTCCTGAAGTTAAAATTTGTGAAGAGAAAAAAAAAAAGATTTCCTGAGAAACTCGCTTTCCAATATGGAAAGATATGTGAGGTCTGAAGTTCAACAATAAAAAACAAAAAACAAACATCCAATCTTTTGATTTGAATGTTATCCTGCTTTTCTGTGACCTGGTTTGTTTTAAAAAGAACTCGTATGCGCATCAGAGTAGAAGAATAGTACATTAATCAGGGCCCTTATTTATGAGCCTGCACATGATCGTCCAACGCACAGAAATGATTGACATGCGCGACACTAACTGTGCATGTCGACGTCATTTCTTTTCAACCATACATTGTCTTGTGTCTGAGGTAGAGAAAAATCTTTCAACCAAACTGTTGCCTGTAAATATGTCTTAATAATAATAATAACAAAAAACTGCCAGCTGCTTACACTGTAAAAAGTGATCAGCTGACTTCATTTTAAGGCAAGAGGTTTCCTCCCTTTTTTAAGTAAATAAACTGAAAAATTAAGTTGGGGAATTGTCAAGTTCGCATAACTTAATTTTTTTAATTACTTGTAACTTAAAAAAAGGAGGAAAACCCTTTGCTTTTAAGTTAAGTCAACTAATCACTTTATACAGTTTACAACGCAATCAAACCCAAAACTCTTTTTCAAATCATATTAATATTTCTTTATCTAGAAGCTAAAAAACCAACAGAAATAGAAAATAATAAAATCAAGTAAATACATTTTAAAAAAAGAAAAAATATATGTGACCCCTTTTCTTACTTACTGAAACAACTTTGCAACACTAGATGGGGATTGTAGCCTGCTTTTAAAATCCATCAAATTAGACAAAAAAAACAACAACAACAACACAGCAGTATCATAATCGATCCTGAGTCTTTTAAATTCACTGCAGATGAGGTAAATTCAGCAAACTTTAAATAAGAGAATTAATAGACAGCAAAAAAGAAAGTGTCAAGCACAACCTCACAGATGTGACTTTGGCAGAAGTAGATTTGATCACGCCATGATTGCTTTGCAGATCTTTGTGAGAGAATGACTACGGGTGTGGAAAGGCATGATTACGCGATCACCGAAGTGTGTACGCTGAGGTATTCTGTTGAATCGAACGTGTCTAAAAACCTTCTCAGTCCTGAGAAAAACTCTTGAGGAAAAGAGCAGGTGGGGTCCGTGATGAGCTTTAACAGCTGATGAGTTTGTAAAAGTGTATGTGTGTGGTCCTCCCTCCACTGGAAGGAAAACACAGCTGCGAACTTGTGCAGGAGGCAGACTGTGATTTGCTAGACCGCCTCTAGAGGGCAGAGCGGCTCGTGCCGCTCCAGAGGAAAGACTAGTTTAGGGTGGACTCACGGGCTGTTTGGTTCAGGGAGCTGGTGACGGTTAGGGTGACGCACCTGTGGCCGGCTCCACAGAGTCAGGACCCTTTGAGGAGGAAGAGGAGGAGGAAGATGGGATGCCAGGACTGAGGGTGGAGGTCTGGCCCGGGAACATGGCTGTGACAGCGGTGGGAACAGCTGCAGACTTCTGGGCATATAAGGATCCTGTACAGAGTATTAAAAAAAAAAAATGCATTTAGCAATTGACTTCATACAGGAATACATTACTGTTTAAAAGTTGAGGATCAGTAAGAAAAAAATAGTTTTCAAATAAATGATGTTCTTTTTTAACTTTCTATTCATCACAGAAACCTGGATGTTTTCCACAAATATATTAATCAGCACAAATGTTTTCAACATTGATCATCAGAAATGTTTCTTGAGCAGCAAGTCATCATATTAGAATGTTTTCTGAAGGATCATGTGACACTGAACAGTAATGATGCTGCAAATTCAGCTTTGCAACACAGGAATAAAATGCATTTAACATTTTTTAATTAAATATTTTTAATTAAATAAATATGGGCTTTGTGAACAAGAAATTTCAAACCTATTACCTTTAAAGTTAGAAAATTAAAAACACCACTATTTAAAAAAAAAAAAATTAAGTTAGAGTAGCCTTTCACTGAAATCCCAAAAGTTACGATTTTCAATTATTTTACTCGATTTTTTATTATTACTATATTGCTTCAAATAAGTGTATAATGAGATATATAATAAAACTTACATTAGTACTACAATATAATACTTTTATGATCTAGAATACTTGTAGGATTATCGGAACTTTATGGAAATATCCTCAATGCAAGTATAAATAATTGGAATAAAATGAATTAAACAAACAGCCAAGATCTACAAGCCTTTTAAAAGATTACATTTGTAACCCGAGTATGGTTTTCCAATACAAAGGATTTTCTTATAGGAGCCGGCCCAATCGGTGGAAAGGGGGTCTTGGAGTAACCTGAGGTTAAGTGCCTTCACCAATATTGGACAATCCCACACGTGTATAAATACAGTAATACACACCTGAGTAAATAACCCCATTGACCTCCACAGACACAGTAATGCTAGCAGAGCCATTAGAAGAAATGCTGAGAGAAAGGTCCTGTTTGTCCTCTGAAAACAAAATACAAACGTCAAATGACACACTGTCAGTCGCTGTGGATATTTTGGATGAAACCGCTGATGTACGCACCGCGGGTACTGGCGTTGTTCATCCGCAGTTGGGCTGGGTTCACCTGTGACGCCATGGCCAGCAGGTTTTGTTGGAAAGCCTGCTGCAGTAGCTTCTGTTGTTCCTCTGCCAGACGGGCCATCTTCCTCTCAGGCCCCTCCACCGCGGCGGCGGCGGGTCCCGCGACACCCATGCCGGTCTCCAGCCTCTCCCTCAGCTGCTCCAGTGTGGCGGCGCGTGCCAGCTGCTGCTGATGCCCGAGAGCCAGCGCCAGGGGCAGACGACCTGGCAACATGGAGGCTGGACCGTCCTCTGGGACTGAGGAGAGCCCACCAAAAAAAAAAATGGTCACTATATCACATCCATAATGTTAATCAGGATGATGTAATCCATTGCATGTTGCTTCTGATTTTTCATTTGATGGAAGGAGGCGTTTCTGATTGAGTGGAGATTTTTTTTAGATAGAGATAGATAGATAGATAGATAGATAGATAGATAGATAGATAGATAGATAGATAAAATAGATGGATAGATTTATAATAATGCTGGAATCATGAGTAATGTAGTTTTTCTACCAAAAAAAAAAAAAAAAAAAAAAAAGCAGATAACATTGATTGACACCCTTTAAGCTCATTGTTGACCTGGCTTGTTATTGTTTAAAATGACATAGGAAATGAATAGCAGAAAATGTATTGGATTTTACTTCCAGACCATGATTGTAGCAGACCTGAATGCTAGTTTGCTAAAATGCTTGACTAACAATATCAAACAGGTGATAAAAAAAAAAAAAATGTCAACTCAAACTTTAATTATTTGGTAACTTTTTGGGAACTTTTCATCAGCCAGCTGGAAGTTATGAAGCAGGATGTTTTGACATGAACATAGGTCCCTGCATTACACATCAAGGCAAGCCCTTCATTTACTGCGGCCCCTGGGGTTCGTCTCTGTCAGTAGACCCTCACAGGAAAACACAGCCCCTTAATGGCCGATCATTTCCCCAATCAGGCCAGGAAACCTGCTCCATTTCCTACATACACGTCCTGCTTGGGTTTGTTTCTATTCCACATCGAGGTGGCATTATGTAAAGGTGTGGAGACTAAAGAATAGAATGTAACGAAATGCATTTTGGTCAACATCAAAACCAATTAAATTAAAATTTCACTGTCTGCCTATAATTTTAGCAGTGAATCAGAATGAATCCAATATTTAGAAACTTGCATTTATATGAACCCTAAATGATGTAGTCAAATATAAATTTTTTTCTGCTTCAAAACTTCGAGCTCTTGTGGTCACAAAAAAAAAATCCCAGGATGTCTTTTGAAGGAGTAGGGGTGTAACCCCGGCATCCTGGCCAAATTTGTACAGTGGCCTCTGTCCATCATAGCCTTCTAATCATCTCCATATATATATATATATATATATATGGCTCACAATATGGCTGCCGTCACTTTGAGTGCAAAGCGCAACATAAATGTAATGAATTATTATTATTGCCTCCATTTTTACCTCGATGACATATCTAAACAGAAAGCTAACATATGCTAACATAGGTTCATAATACGGAAAACGCAAGTAAACATACACATCACGGCACTGCGCATGTGCATATTTTCAAATACAATTGATCTGCCGAATGAATAAATGTCGTCAGAATTAAGCTTTTACATGCTTAATATTTTTCCTATGGACCCTTTTCACATTCCCAGGTTTGCAGAAGCGGAAGTCGTCATGTTCCATATTTCTTGACTATTTTGTGATAGAAGTTATATTTGGACAGAAATGTATTAATTTCTTACAGGAGAATATATCCACCAAAAAAAAAAAAATGGAATGTGGGTTATTTTTGGTACAACGCCAAAATATCATAGAAACTTCAATCTTTGAGATATGGTTAGATAAAAGCCTTTTTTTATTTCATAGCAAAAACTATTTTGTAAAATATATATTTTGTATGAAATACTTTTTTTTTAGTACACTACATTTGATTTAAGTCAATTTAAACGTCTATAACTTTTTCATTCCTTAATTTTTGAATCCAATTGATCCGCTACATTAATAAATGTAAACGTGGTCGGATTCAAACGGGTTAATTGGGATCGAGCTCATTCTGAGGTGTTTACATGAAGTCTTTTCACTCCAATTGAGTCATGAATATGATTATAAAATGATTATTTGGGTTCATGTAAACACACCTAGTGACATTCAATAAGAACGTGATTCTCCTTCTCACCACTGGTGTGTGCAAATAAACCAAATGTTTATGTTGATGTGTAATATTATACTTAACGGACTAACCGGATAATCATTCCAGCTGAGGTCAACAAAAAAAAAAAACTGATTTCAATGATCTTATTAAGACGACTGCACACCTGTGGCTTTCTTCAGGGCGGGACTGGGGGTGGCCTGCAGTCCGTTGTGTCCCGTGGCGGGCAGGTGCATTTTGAGAGGAGAGAGGAGGTGAGGGGCTGAGGCACTGGGAGAAGGGGAAAAGCGGTACAGGCTGTTGCTGTACCCGGGGCGACGGCCCTCCCTGCGGTTACTGTCAATGGCCGCCTGCAGCTCTCCAGGGGAACTCAGACCCTTCTTCTCGCACTCGTATGGATACAGGTACTTCATATACCTGCCACAGAAGATCAAAAACTGTCAGCGTACTACATGACTTTAGTGATGTCAGAAATCTTAATGGCAAAAAGTACTTGTGTGTATGCCGTGCACATGGATCTTACTGTGTGCGGAGGGTGAAGGCGGCACTGGTGATGGAGGTGGGCAGGTTCAGGCCTTTAGTGATCTCTCTCCAGATCTTCTTGTTTATCACCTCCACCAGACCTCCCTTCTCAGTCACCAGCTTATACAGCATGTACAGATCCAACACTTGCTTGGCCATGATGGGGATTCGGTTCACAGGTGTACCTGGAGGAGACAGAACGGACAGCCTTTGTTTAATATTCTGCATGATGGATCACCAGCGGAGTGTTTAAAGGAATCGTTTATGATTTCAACTTTAAAATTAAAACACATTTTGTCGGAATGATGGGCTTTATTCAGACCGTACTGATGGGAAGACGATAACTAAAATGATGTTCTCATCAAGACAGTAACAGGGCTGAAGAAGATGTGAGGAGAGGGGCCACTGATGATGGCACAAATAAATTGTGATATTTTGCTATTATAAAGTAGAATGTACATAGTAAACTTAGATCAATAATAATAAAAAAAAAACATTTAATAAAAAAAAAGGATTAAAACTTTAAGGAATTATCACAATTTGTCTGCAATGTTTCAATTTTAAAAGTAAACCACTGTTGTCCAGCACTTCGTTAGCCAAAAACATTTAATGAATTGTTACAGTTTCATTTGATTACGTTTTAAATGGCCATTTTATAGTAACAATTTTAATAAATTAAAAGTTTATGACCTCCTAAAATGAATGAATTTCATGAATTTTATTACTTTTACATTTTTGGATGACAACATTTTTATCAAACCAACAAAACAGACTCCAGAAAAAAAAAACTGAAAACGGAATCTAGAAGAAAAAAAGTGGAATTTGGGAAAAATAATTGGATTTCATAGGCCCTGTACTGCAATAAGTAAATGGGATTTATTAAGACCGTAATGAATGGAAGTATCTATGGGAAGTGATGGGCTGGTAGTAGATGATGGGCTCATGAAGGACATTATTCAGACCATAATGATGGGTAGCCAGTGGAAAGTGAAGGGTAAATCAACACAGCAACTATTGGCTGATGAATGGCAGCTATGGGCCAATCAACAGTAGCTATGCTAAATAAGCTGATGTTAGGAGGTGACTGGCTGAAATAGAGATGCAAGCAGAAGCCATCTGTAAGCATTAAAAGCTCATGAGAGTCTGTGCGGCCCACCCCTTCCAGAAAAACAGGGATTGAAGTGATTGAGTTTTTAATCTGCGAGTAATGAGCCGGTGTGGGCAGGCCAGTGCAATGAAGCTCATTTGGAGGGATTGCGGCAACCACACACACACACAGTTACCAAAGTGTGTACAGAACAGGAGGGGAGGGGATTTGAGCCCCCATAATACCATGCTCAAATCCTCCCCCCACATACCATGCTGGGCCTATTCTGGAATAAAACCAATTAATGTATGTGTGCTTTGTGAGAAGTGGGTGGGTTGAAGAGTCCTGGTGACCTGTCCCGAGGTCAGGATTACACCCTAATTTAGCTCCATTCTCCATTCTCATTAACATGGATTCAAATGCACATAGATGGGCACCTGCGCACTAAACAAATGTCAACCAATAACACTAATTATGTGGATAACTAATGTGCATGCAATTCGGTCTTTAAATATATTATACACACACTCACATTCATACAGTACTGGTCAAAAATTTGAAATCATAACTATTTTTTATGTTTTTGAAAGAAGTCTCTTATTCTAATCAAGCCTTCAAAAATATAGAAAATATACTGTAAAATAACATTATTACAATTTAAAATAACGGTTTTCTATTTTAATATACTTTTGTCACATGAACCTTCAGAAGCCATCTAATTAAATGGTTTGTCATTTTTTACTTTTCATTCATCGAAGAATCCTAAAAAAAACATCACAGGTTATATAAAAAATATTTAAGCAGTACAACTGTTTCCAACATTGATAATAAATCAACATATTAGAATGATTTCTGAAAAATGATGAGACACTTAAGACTGGAGTGATGATGCTGAAAATTCAGCTTTGCATCACAGAAATAAATTATCTTTTAAAGTATATTAAAATAGAAAACCATTATTTGTTTTCTGTAGTTTTGATCAAATAGACTTCTTTAAAAAATATAAGATTTCCAAACTTTTGACCAATACTGCATGTATGTATATATATATATATATATATAGTTGTCCTAAGACAATAACGGGTATTGTTCAAAATTCATTAATAACTTTGATGAAATGTTTTGATCAACTCCAAATGTAGACTACTGTGTATATATATATATATATATACACACACACATACAGACATACATACACACACACAAACACTTTTTTAAGAACACACCCATGCAATGTTTTTACGCAAATGTGAATTATAATGCTAGTTCCAAATAAACACCTAGTTCGACTGGCTGATTCTGTTGTGCTGGTTCTTCTTAAATTATCGGGGTCAGAATGTTCCATCCTGAAACTCCTCACAGCAAACAGCCATAAAGCGTTCATTTACCCAGTGTAATTTAGAAGCCCAGGCCTCCAAGACAAGGCCCAGCACCCCCCGGAGAGTCCGGAGCGAGGGCTCCCTTTGAAAGGCAGTTATTTAATGCTGGGAATGACATTACTCATTCATCAAACAATCGCTGCTCAGATTCGAGCAAAAGGTTAGGGCTAGGTCACCGAGCTGGAGATTCAGGTAAAGGTCCACAGGAAATCGTCTAGAGAGCGACCTTGTGACACGCTCCATAACTGCAAAACCAATTTAGCTCAAACTCAAGAATGGAAAAGTCATTGGAAGCCTTTTCCTGCTAAAGAGGCTTCATTATTGATTGATGTACGCTGTGCAAGGGTTTAATGCTGAAGCACTGCACTCCTAATTGATATCATGGTGTCTCCCTTCATACGCCTCAAGAAATGGGCAATGTGACGCGTCAAGACGGGGTTAATGAAATAAAAGCATGAGGTTGCAGGGTATGCAAATGGATGAACGCAGAACAAATCTATAAAGAGAGAGTAAAATCAACTGAAATGCTCAGTGAGGACAAACGCAGGACAGGTCCATCCACAAACACATTGTGGCTTTCATAACTTTACTATTAAAAACTGATGAGACCATGTGTTCAAAGTCAAAGCAGCAATTTCTAATTAATTTCTCTCTCTTTTTTTAATTACACATCTAATTCCATCCCCTCCCCCATTTGTTTGCTCGAAAACAAAAAATAGGTCATTGAATCTGACCACTGCCCTAAATATAGGAGGAAACAGCTGCCCACATTAAGAAGCCTGCGCTCTGCAATGAACCAATAAGGCGTTCCGAGACGCCGGGCTGGTGAAGGAAATTCCACTCTCTGACCTAAACAATGATTGCCATTCTTACTGTATGGCTGCTGCAGAGAGGAAGTGAGGGGGCATACAGGAAGTGCATGGTCTCACACCCGACGAAAGATCCTGGATGATGTTGTGTGGTTAGATCTTTTGTTTTGATAACCTGAAAAACGTTAGGCTAATGCTAGATCACATTTCACACCAGTCAATTCAAAAGAAAAAAAAGAAGAAACTAGATTTTGCTTACAGAAACTAAAAGTACATTTTAGGGCTGTTCAAGTCTTTTGCACGTTATTTATGACACAAATGACCAAATAAATGAATACTTTTAATGGTTTCATTCGATTCTCTTTAAACAAATTGTACTGTAACACAAATTTATATAATAAACACAAAATAATAAAAAGTCTCTTGTGCACATTTAATTTGCAGTCTAAATACATATTTGTGAAATTAAATGTTTATTAGATACTCAAAGACTTGTTTATATGATGTAAATGCGTATTTGCTGAATGCTGATGGTTAATGAGAAAATATTATAGTGTTTGACTTTCTATTACTAATGTAAATGCAAATGTTTTAATACTATTTTTATACCAATTACATTTATTTGTTTAACAGTTTAATTAGACAGAACTGTTAAAAAGGAGAGCTTATAAAAGAAAAAGAAAATAAGACCCACTTCTGACATTGGTCGATATTGGATAAAAAAAAAAAAGCCAAATAGTCGGCCGATATGTCTGCCTTGGCAAAATATCAGTTGACTATTATTTAAATGGCATAGGGAAAAGGCAGTGCAATAATTATGACAAACATATTTAGTTTATTTTACAAAAATGATAATAATGCTTAAAAATAATTATATTGCAATGCAAAATGCTTAAAAAAAAAGAACTGTGCTAAATTGTCAAGAAAAAAAAACAGATTTTCTGAGATTCAGCAGAACTTTCAACCACAACTTCCTTGAAATTAAAAAGCATAAAAAAACAGGGTTATTTTCAAGCGAGTCATGTTTCATTTTTCAGGTTTCAAGCACTTTCCGTTCTTGTATTAAATATTCATGTTTCCTCCGACACCCATCTTCCACTCCAAACTCCAAAGACACTCCACAAATCCATCTATCTATCCATCCATCCATCCATCCATCCACCCTGGCTCTAGGTGAGCTAATTTCAGGTGGGTTAAGGCAGGATTACACATATAAAGCTACTTGCTTTACTCACAGAGAAAACTATTATTATCGCTATTAATTAGGATTAGTTTTAGGATTTTCTTATTGTAGATGAGCATTACACGCAGAAGACATTTTGCTTATAATAGATGCATGTACACATTTTTTATTCTTAGTTAGTATTTATTATATACACACGCACTTGCATACATACACTCACACACACACATATATATATATATATATATATATACACACACACGGGTCATAATTCAGTTAATTTGACTCTGCACAAGAAGGAATTTACTGTCAAGTTTGATTTAGCGCATTTGATTAAGACTTCAACATGTTTACTGTTTTAGGAGCGTCACAGCCCTATACCGCTGAGCCATAAAAACGAACGAATGAGGGCTCAGTACAAGGCTGCGTTTCCCTGGGGGACAGTGAACATTGACGCAAAGAGAAAGGGATAAGGAAAGAGTTTTTCGGGGATCTTCCTGACTTTACAAGATAAATCTGTAGTCGGTGGTCATAAAAGGACAGAGACGCTCGGGTGGGAAACGAGCAGCCCACTTCAAACCCAGGATGTCATAAACATGCTTGAGGAGAGTAACAAGCCTCAGGAGTGACAAGACAAATGCTCCAAACAGGACATGCCACACTTATTATATGAAGTCACACAATAGAGGCCGTGCACACATATAACCTCCTCCCTGCTGACCGTAGGAAACCGAGCAGTGCTTCTATTGCAGCTGTTCGGTATGTCAACGATAAATTAAAATGAGCAACAAATGCTCTTAAGTCATAATTCAAAGCTGTTCTTGGGAAGCTACGAACATTAAAACGGCAACAAAAGGAGCCAGTTAAATAATTCAACAAAGGATAGTGTGATGAGTTTGGAAGTGTGTTCAACATTACATGAGTTTATGAGGCTCTATAGAATACTTGATTCTGATCGGTCAATTGCAACAGCCTCAAATATATACGCCTCAAATATATATGTTCATTTTTAAAGTTATCATTTTCAGCCAGATAAGACAATTTGGGCAATTTATTAAAGCCGATAAATAATGGATTATTTCCTACCGCTGAGATACTTCAGATGCGCACTGATCGCCATGGTGGTTTTGAATTACTTGAAATATGATTGGAGTTTAGAAAAGGAAGATAAAGTTAATACAACATGCGCAGTGCAAGTCTGTCATATCGGCTACATACAATTATAATGACAACATTATAATTGTGTGCTTGGGAAATGGATTTTAATGGCGAGACTTGTTTTTGTAATCAGGCTCTCAAAAATCATGGAAAAATTTGGATTTAGATAAATCGGCCATTATATCGCTTATCGGCTTTGAAATATAAAGAATTATCGGTTATCGGCATCACCCAAAATGTTCATATCGGTGGATCCCAATCAAATATATTTGTATAAATAATGCATAATATTTCTTGGAAATGTTTATATATTAGGTACTTGTCAAATTTGACATTTCATTATTGGAAAAACAGAAAAAAAACAAAAAACAATTCTGACCAATACTGAAAAAATGATTATTTTCATCTTAAAAGCAGTAACTGATAAATGCCTGACATAAAATTCTATATTATATTGTTGTCTAAATAAACAAAAATAATATTATTATGATGTACAGAGAGAAAAAAAATATTAATTTTGAGATTTGTTAAAGATTACTTTTAACAATGTTATTAACTTATTCATGCATTTTAAATGTAACTTAAGCAAAAGATAAATAAAATGTTAAAATACGGATGAAAATGTACAATCAAATACTCAACATTGGCCAATTTAAATCTAATATGGCCAAATACCGATAAATTTAAATAAATAAATAACACTGTCTGTATATAATCTGATACAGTACTAATATTTCGTGCATTCTTAATATAACATTAGTCTCTACTTGCAAATAGTTCTGGCTGTAATGTGATTGGATGAGTCACATTTGAAAACAGCAAACATTCAAAATACATACACATTCAATCATTTTGTTAGGCTAATAAGCTATTGTCAAAAGAATTGTCTTATACATTGAAATCATTGAATATTGGCTCCTTAATTTATATTGCTATTGCCTGCATAAGTCATTAGGTTGTTTTGTAATGATTTTACATAGTTTTTTTTTTTTCAGTTCCCTTAATGTTTTAGTAAGATTCATACATTTTAATGGATATACAGAGTTGCACTTCTCCATAAACAACAAATTTGGCTCACCTTTGGCTCATTTCTCCATTTTGAAACTATTGGCACACAAATTCACTAGCTGGTTTCCAGCATTCTTATAACTCACCCTCTATTTCTCTACTCATCTTGTCATCATTTCCTCTCATCCATGCAATCCCCTCCCCATCCCGCTGTTATTCAGCAGTCACAGCATTGTCTTTGCTTTCTACTGTCTGTCATTCTTCTAATATCAAAGGTGGGGCCCTGAGTTTTAGGGTCTCATTAATCTTTAGGAGAGGGACAGGGGCCCCTTAATCCACCTCACCCACCCTCTATCTGATCCCCTCAGGCCCTGAGCAAAAGACGCCCCCCTCACAGCCCCCAATCAACACACACACACTGAACATCCCCTCACAAAACTCCCCTGCAGCCACTGCTCCTGTCCTCCTCCCATCTTATCAAGTTTCAAGAGCTCTGATGTGGACAATACACAGGGCAGAGGCCGACTTTTATAGAAGTGCGCGCAAAGATCAAAGCATAAAAATATATAAATATACTGCTGTGCCATTAAAACGAATATTCCAGGTTTAATACAAGTGAACTCAGTCAACAACAGTTGTGGATTACCAATAAAGTTGTTCTCGTTTGCAAAAAACAAAACTTACAATGGAAATGATGGGCCAGTGTTTGGAGGATTTAAAAGGAGAAATAAGCAGCTTCTAATTTTATAAAAAATGTAAATTCTGTCCATTTACTCACCCTCAAGTAGTTCCAAACCTGTATGAATTTCTTTCTTCGGTTGAGCACAAAAGACGCTATTTTGAATAACATGGGTAACCAAACAGTTGATGGGCCCATTGACCTCCGTAGTATGGGGGGAAAAAAAATAAAAAATACTACGTAAACTGTTTGGTTAACATTCTTCAAAATATCTTACACAGCAAGATTATGAATATAATCTTTAATCATTCTGTGTGTGATTCGAGCTGTAATGTTTTTCTCATCGTTTTTACAGTCATTTTACAGTTTAGGCATTACATCGTCATAGTCAAAACTAATTTCATGTTAACTCGCATGTTGTTTGTGTCTCGTGGTCGTACTATTGAGTATTTTAACATTTACAAATTGGCTTCATTCACTTTTATTTTTAAGTGTCTCACTGTAACACAAATTTTTGCAATTGTTTTTTTTTTTTTTGTGGAAATATCATTTTGGTTATTAACATTATATCACAAATGCTTTTGATTTATATTGAACCTGGGATATTCCTTTAATTTTAGCATAAATGGCCACCAACAAACCAATTTTGGACCTCAAATACACCAGAATGTGCCTAAAGCTACGGTACGGTCGGTTGTTTTTTTAAGTGGTATTGAAATAAACTAGTGGTTGATCTATCTATTTTGGCTAATATTTGGTCAAATTTTCAGCTTTGGAAATGGACTTATTTTGAACTTTGTTTTTGACACAGGAACTCCCTTCTCCATCTTTCCATCCATTTATGGTCTTTGTTTAATATTGGTCTAGTAATTTATTAGACCTAACTATTAGGAAAAGATAGTTTTAATCTAAAGTATAAAAGTAAGTTTATTTAAAAAAACCTTTTTTTTCTAATACAAAACGCATTACAGCAAATTCAATTAATCAACATGGTATCATATATAATCGCACACTTGCTCTCTAAGATATCGGCATAACAAAAAAACAAAAAAAAAATCTTATCGGTCGACCACTAGAATAAACTGAAGTAGAATGAGAGAAGATAGTTAGCTAGAGACCCTTCAGAACAACACCAGACAACCAAATCACCAAAACCAGAAAGGTCTGTTTGCTTTTCAAAGCTGCCGAGTGGAAACAGGACACAATCTGTACAAATCCAGCTACTAGTCTTAGTCACTTGACCTGAATATCACAGTTAAAATAGATATTTGCATTGTGATATGCAAAACGCCTGACAAGATAACCACGGCAGGTTTAAAAATGAGACGAGGCGCACGCTGAAACACTTTCAGGATGGATCCTTTGAATAACACACAACCGTCACCCACAGAAGTCATTTTCACACACTCAATCAGTCAAAAAAACATCATTAATCATGGCTGCGAGGACCTCCATGACGGACATTTGGCAAGATCACGCTTTTCCCATCCCCCGCCTATTATGAAGTCTCAGCTGACAACCCCACTTACGCACACTGCTAGGTGGTACAGGGGTGTGATGGTAGACCAACACAAACAGCTCTCCATCTGGATGAGTTTAAACCCGTGGTATGGGGTTAATAGCCCCGTCAAGATGTGTCGCTGAGAGCTTAGTCTTAGTCGGATGACGCCGTCAGGCCCATCTCTCTGTCACAGTATGCTAATCTGAGACCAGGGACATACGATTCCACTTAACTAAGGGGGCCGTCTCTATGCTAGGCATTGGTGTCAGATGAAATAGCACATCCCCAAAGAGTGAAGCTAAAGTAGATTTAAATTATTTGTATGCAGACTTGCCCTATATAGATGAGATTGAGAAAATTGGTGTTTGAAATGGGATTAAAAGAGCCCGTCCTACCTCGTTTCTGCATGTACGCAAAGAGGTCGTCGAGGAATTCCTTCCGTTTTGGGTCGTTGTCCAGTTCATAAAGCTGAAAGTAAAAATTGTGAACAATCAATAAGGTCTTTATCTGACATCCTTTCGGAACCGTTTTTACGTCAATATTTGTGTTTTTGTAGACATAAAGCTACTCTTGGACGAGTGCTTGTTTGATAAATTACAGAATTCATTTAACCAATTTAAGGGCTGTCAACCTTCAAAAATGTATGCCATTAAATACATTTAATCTGTTTGAATACCCAATTCTGATTGGCTAGAAGGCGTGCATTAAAACAGTTTAATGCAGTGTTTTCATTTCATTTGAAATCGAAGAACAAACTAGTGTGAATTTTGAACAAAATCAGGCCAAAACAAAGTTTGTCAGTTCATTTTGGGAGTTTGAAATGGCTAGTTAAAGCCAACTTTCCAGAAAGTTTACTCTAGCTGGTAAACCCTTTCGAACTACCATTGGCCGATTACAAAATAGGTAGGTGTGGCTCTGAGGCTCCGCCTTCTTTGATAAAGAAATCTTTTCTGGTTCATTTCTTCCAGTCAGTCCCTCGAGTTCGGACGTCCACGAGAAAAAAAACATGAACACATTGGATGTTTTTTATGTTTTAAATTTCAAGTGGTATATAAATAAACGTGGCGTGACTTTAATGTATGAAGTGCTGAATTGCAAAGCTTGTGCAAACATCTAGATCTCAATGATCAGATGCTTTCTTAACGTTTTCTGTCATTTTTGTTGTTATTGAAAGGAAAGCTCAAAGCACATATTTACACGGTCATCTAAACATCACTTCTTAGCAGTGTGGGCTTCATCAGGATGTTTGCTAACAGTATACTGCTGCTCACGTGTTTCAAATATTTTTTTTACCCCAAAGTGAAGAACAAAGAAGAATTTTGCCATGGGCATTTTGAGCCTTAACTTGTCAATGCTAGAAAATGACCATTGTTTAGACAGGATAATCCACGGCTAGCTGTGCATTAAAGCAGCACTATGCAGTTTTTTTAAATGAATAGCGTCAGAGTTATTGCAATGGTCATATGACTATTTTTGGGTTGAATGTTGGGCGTTGGGCGTCTGAAGACTGGAGTAATGATGCTGAAAATCCAGCTTTGATCACAAGAATAAATTACATTTTAAAATATATTCAAATTGTAACAATATTTCACAATATTACAGATTTCACTGCATTTTTGTCAAATAAATGCTGCTTAAATTATCATAAGACTTATATGAAAAACATTTTTTTAAATAATCTTACAGACCCCAAGCTTTTGAACCGCAGTGTATATATTCCATATGGGTATCAGAAAAAAAAAATCTCAGAACCCAATAATTATACAGTTAATTTTTTCCTTAAAAATGAACTGAATGAGTTAACTTAATGACAAAAATTTGATTAATTGTGATGGGAAACCTGACAGCCCTAATCAACAAAAAGTAGTTCTTTCACACGCTGCTGTAAAGTTAAATAACCCAGCAAAATTGTGTTAGTGTGTCACTGACAAAATGTGTAATGACTAGCTGTGGCTAACAAAAGCAATGTTTACCTTGGCAAAGTCTCTGGAGGCCTCTCCTCGGCTTCTCCCACCATCTCCTTCCTCATTCCAACTTGAATTTCCATTCTACGAGAAGAGAGAGAGAAACAATTAGCAAAAAAAAAAAAGTGATGAAAGGGGATGACATTGGGGGGGGGGCCTCTGTTTGAAAGGACAAGCAAAAAGTGAGTTATTGGGTGTCAGGAGTCAAGATGCACAAACAGGCTACTCTCTTCATGTCAGGAAGGCCTTCTTTAGCGCTAACCTTTGAACTCCAAGGGTCTTCCTCAAGCTAACATGAAGGAGTATGGAGCTGATGGCTGGCTGACAGTGGACAGAAGCTACAGCAAGGGAAAGTACACACTCTGGCTGACAATTATTTTCCTGTAATGACCAAAAAAACAATAAATGGCCAATATTAAAATTGTATACAATTTTGTCAAAAGAATAAGAATTTTATTTTATCAAATATATTTTTTGTGAATTTAGGCATCACAACATTATAATGTATAGTGCAAAAAAATGTTTATTAATCTTGAGATTAGTTTAAGATTACATTTAACACTGTTATTAAATTACTAGATAGTTTTTAAATAATTACCTTGGCCATCATCTAAAGGCCAGTTCAAACCAAGAAAGAAATCTAAAGAGAACTATATTAGCATCCACACCAGCGGACGATATCGCTCTGATTTTTATAAGCATGCCGTACAGTTGTGGCCTGCCACTTTAAATGCTTGAGCTCTTTAAATGAGGCTGGATTCTGATTGGCTGCCAATGTTTTTATCATTCATCAGATGAAAAAACAAAACAAAACAAAAAAACACGATCTGAACTGTCTTAACACTCACTTAAAGTAAATCTAAATGTAAAAAATGGTGGAAAGCATAAATTATTAAATATTTAATATAAACTAATACTACTAAACTCCAATAATAATCATCCGAATGAAACAATTTGGACTGATATCGGTAAGACTGGAGAAACAAGCTTGAAAAATATCCAAAATCAAATAAAACTAAAACTGATATCCACCTAATATGGATTGATAACATCAAATTTAAAATCTGTAATATCAGCCAATAAATTGATATCTCTAATATTAACATTGACGCAATCTTTTTAGCTCATATGCTTTTAGGCAATTAGTTTTAGCGCCATCTCACCGTGGTTACCCAGGAGCCATGACCACAAAACAGTTATAAAATCTAATAGTCCCTCTGTGCACATGCCCTGTGCTTGATTACAAGTTATCCACTGTGGCTCCAGGATTCATTTACACAAAGTCTGAAAGGAAAAGGCAGAGTGGCAATAAAGCAGTTTACAGGACTCATCCACCGCCCCACTCTTTAATATGCTAAGTGAATCACAGCTGGGGAAGAGAGCGGTCTACAGCCTGGCCCTCTCCACGTTTACAGCAAATACACACCAGCTGGGCCCGAGAGCGGCCGGGAACCCGGTAGGGAATCAAATCAGTCAACAGCGGTGGGCATCCCATGCTGTGTGCTATTGTGATGTGTCAAGTGAATGAGCATCTACTGTAGACCCTTGAGGGAATCTGAAAACAACCACTTGTATAATGAATTACATTATAAAAGCATTACGAGAAATCTCAGACCTCTGAATTATAATGAACTAAAGTTTGTCCGGTGGACACGCCGAGGCAAATGGCGTCGACACGAAATCCGAATGCAAAACATTATCCCGCGTCGAAGACATTTACGAAACTGTGCAAGCTGTTATCAGGCTTACAGGTCAAGCTTTGGCCTTACTAATCATATTAAGGGAGAACTGATTGGCTAGTGTCCAAATTAGCTGAGAAGAGAGGAAGCAGATGACCATCTGGGTCACCCAAAGGAAATGTAAGCCCCTTCCCCCATATTAATTCAACAGAAACCAGTACACTAGCTGAACATGGCAAATAATTACTTGGGTGGAAGGAACAAACACATGGTGTCGACCAGCGTTTGCCACATCTGAATGCGGCAAATAATTACTTGGGCTGAAGGGACGAACACAAAATTCAATTGTCTCTACTAGGAACATAAGGCTCTAGCTCATGAAAAACATTAGATTTTAGTAAAAAAAACAACATTAATGTGGGTGGAAACCACAGTATGAGTTTTCTAGATGAGTGACATGCTAACAGAAGGGCTCAAGCGAAGATCTTCTAATGCGAATACAGTCTACCATTGAGAAACCAGTGTGGTGAGAGACATTAAGTCAACAGGCAGTAATGCTATAGCAGAATGGTCTTTCCTAAGTGCTATCAACACCTAGATGGGATTGTTCAACTGAGATGAAACAGTAACCTCCCCTATCAAGCAGACCTCTCTGGGTGTTAATGCAAATATACCAGTGTGCTGATAGGAATGGGTGGTAATTGTATTTTGATAAATTAGAGATCATGCTGTGAGGGACAATTTTGTCTTTAGGTCTCACCATGAGTCAACAGTTTTTCTTTCTTAAACCATTCTTTTACAATAGGGTTGGGCTTTATGATGGCGTAGAGATTCTGCTGTACTGTATATGAACCTAGAGTTAGTTGATTATAATTTGGTTTTGATGTGTCACATGAATCCAGTTTATATGCAAGTCTTTCAGATTAGCTGAGTAACACTGCAACATGAAGCCATATACAACTGATCTGTGGTATGGTTATGTTTCCAAAAAAAAAATAACAAAAAAACAAAATAATAAAAAGATTAAATAAATGGGGGGAAAAGGCACCCAAGTTTTCAAAAATAAAAAATAAATAAAACTGAACCAAACTAAGAAAAAAAAGCATAGTTATGAAAATAACACACAAAATATATTATAAATAAATAAATGAGAAGAGACAGAGGCACTTAAGTAGGCAGTTTAGTAAAAAAAAATAAAAAAAGACGAAAAAATAAAACTTTATAATATTAAAAAAATAAAAGTAAATGAGCAAAATAAGAAAAAAATTAAATAATGCAGCCTTTTTTATTGTTTTGTCCCAAAATGTAACTATATTATTGCCCAGCTCTTTATATAAAGTTAGATGTTCAAGTAAGCACAACTTAGGGCGAGATTGACTAAACAGCAAATCTCAACTGCTTGACTGACTGTACAATTTACGAAAATGTAAACTATATTATTCTCGGCTCTAATCTGCTAAATGCGACTACGCCATAAAGATATTAACGGGATAGTTCACCCAAAAATGAAAATTCTGTCAGTATTTACTCACCCTCATGTTGTTCCAACCCCGTAAGACCTTCGTTCATCTTCAGAACACAAATTAAGATATTTTTGATGAAATCTGAGAGCTGGATCACTCCTCCATACTAGTCCATAGGCTTCTTGAGGGATTGAAACTTGGATCGTTAAAATAGTCCAAGTGACTACAGTGGCTCAATCTTAACTTTATCAAACAATGAGAATACTTTTTGTGCTAAAAAACAAACAAACAAAAATAACGACTTTTTCAACTATTCATTTCCTCCCTCATCGCTTGGACTATTTTAACAATGTCTTTAATAACTTTTTGAGGCTGGCAAGTTTCAATCCCTCAAGAAGCCTATGGACTAGTATGGAGGAGTGATCCAGCTCTAAGATTTCATCAAAAATATCTTAATTTGTGTTCTGAAGATGAACGAAGGTCTTATGGGGTTGGAACAACATGAGGGTGAGTAAATACTGACAGAATTTTCATTTTTGGGTGAACTAACCCTTTAAGATATTATAAACATTAACATTATGATTTTCTGTAAAGGTGCTTTGAAATAATGTGTATTGTAAAAAGTGCTATATAAAGAAATTTGGCAACTCAAATAAAAACAAAAAATAAAACGAAAAGAAAGAAATTAACCAAAGAAAGTTCCAAAAATAAATAAATAGGTGATTAATTTCACAAAATAAAAACAAATTCACTTTCTCTTTTATTTAATGATCATTGTAAAGTAAATTTAAATTGTAAAAAAAATTCTCTGACTGTCCATTAGATTATCCTCACCGCTTCAGCTGCTCAATGGGCAACAGCATAGAGCAGCACCATGGGGGATGGCCTGGATCTTTTAATCCAAATCAAATAACTGGTCCTCCACTGCCAAAAGTCACAGTATCACTTATTCGGCTCCTTGCTGTGCCAGGAGCAATAGAAGCGGGGGAGGCCGGGGGAGGGAGTAGATTGGGCACATCTATCCCTGGGAATTTGTAATGGATCCATTAAAATCAATTGGTTGCTGCAAGCATGCATCACTACGCTACATGATATTTTTAGGTGTGCGGCTGTCCAGTATCCCACGGTAAGATGACGTGGGAAAAGTCTGCAAAATTGCAGTGTAAAGTATACAAGGGAAACCAAAACGTAAAGTTTACTATAAAAGGAGGAGGAGTAAAAAAACAAAAACAAAGCAGCTTTATTAGGCCATATTGCTGATATGGTCCGTTGAACAATACAAATGGCACATAGTTGACAAGAGCCGAAAAAGAGAGACAAAAGGCCCAAAGCCAGGGCCTGTAACTGCTTGTCCAAATCCTTGAACATCCTGCAAAGGCCTGAGGCAGAGTTCACATCCATTATCTTGGTCCTGACTGGGTGCTACATGAGAAAAGAGATTGTCTTTCACACAAATGGACACAGGTGTGAACATTTCTGTCCACCGTAGTCCAATCCCAGTATTATGCCATTTGGAAATTTGTAAAGGAAGGAACTGAAGGAGGACATCATATCCCAGAAGCTTACCTGTCCTCAGTAGCTCTTCTACTAACTTTAAAGCCTGGTTTCACAGACACAGGGGTCATAGATCAACTAAGTAGATAAACTTTATAAGGGTCTTAGAAAAACATTATTGGTGTGCATCTTGAGACAAAACAATGGCATTAGAGGACTAGATTTAAGTCTCCTCTGTGAAACCAAGGTGAAGAATTTAAAAACACCAATAAACCCTCAAGAATGAGATTCTGGGCTTTTCAGGATTCAGAACATGATGATTATTGCATTTACAGTTTATTAAACTTTGCAATTCTTGTATCATGTCTACATCTGCAAAACACACTAATTAAATCTAGTCAAATGGGACTAAAAAGATCCCAAAACTATAGATGGAGTCCACCTTTTC